ATAATAACAGTTTCAAATATATCTTCTTGAAATGAACTCTGAAGAAGCTGCTGACTTGTGAATTTGGGAGCACTAGTTTTGAAATTTTCAGACAGGCTTCCTGCTAACTCTGGGAAGCCCAGCTTGGAGGTTTCCTTTTCATTGCTTTCAGTAATGAAACTTGGACAGCAAGGAGATCAAATCAGTCAATACCTAAAGAAATTAATTCAAGTTTTTCACTAGAAGGTCAAATACTGAAGTCGAAGCTTAAATATTTTGGCTACATAGTGAGAAGACAGGACTCATTGGAAAAGACCCTGATGTTGGGAAAGATTGAAGGAAACAGGAAAAGGGAATGGCAGAGGATGAGATGGATAGATAGTGTCATGGAAACAACAAGTGTGAACTTGGGTATTCTTCAAGAGACAGTGGAGGATAGAAGGGCCTGGAGTGCTGTGGTCCATGGGGTCACAAAGAGTCAGACGTGACTGAACAGCAACAAACAAGAACTAGCCTTTTTTTCAGATGGACTCTTGACTTTGATTTGTCAAGTTTAAATCCTAGTTTTATATCATTTCCCCATAAATGTGCTTAAGGCACATAGTAGATCTTTCATAAATGTTTGTTGAAATGTAAAGAGACTCCAATTCCTTTGTTGTTAGCAAAATGTGTCATCTTGCTTAAGTTATTATAGCTCTGTTGAGCCACAGTTTCTCAGTAATGTGATGTGATTGATCTCCAGTTCTAACTCTCAGCCTCTGTAATTCTAACCCAGAATACTCTAGAGACATGTAGTCCTCTTAGAATCAGAAAACCTCAGCTTTCAGATATAAGCCTTCACTGGTGACTTCATCAAATCTTAATGGACTAATGCTTCTTCTGGGGCAGTTAGATGGCACAGTGGGTAGAGTGTAGGACCTGGAGTCAGGAAGACTTCTCTTCCTGAGTTCAAATTTGGTGTCAGACACTTACTGACTGTGTGACGCTGTTTGCCTCAGTTTACTCATCTGTAAAATGAGCTGGAGAAGGAAATGGCATTCCAGTATCTTTCCAAGAAAACCCCAGATGGGATCGTGAAGAGTTGGACACAACTGAAAAACAATGGAACAAGAACGCTTCTTCACTGCTGCCCTTATCCCTTATGCTAGCCTGTATTGTCTTTTGTTGTCATTCATAGTCATCACCTCTAACTGTGGCAGAAAAGAGACAGGTGCAGCAAGAACATTTTAGAGGATGGAAGAGAGGTCTCACTGTCTTAACAAAGACAGTTGCAGAATTATCTGAATAACAACAAAAATCACATTCTTTCTGATTTTTAGTTCTTCTAAGCCTGACATACTAAGGAAAGTGATTTGTTTTGTATCTGTTTGGCTGATTGCATGAAATGTCCTTCAAATAGCAGATATTTCAATGGTTACATCTATTTAAACGGATCTATCATAGGTTGGAGCCATTGGTAGGTAGAGCTGCCAGTTTCCCCACATTCTAGGCACATGTCTCAAATTTTAACTTGCCAGAAAGGATGGGAGAATTCATTGAAAGTCCTACAGGAAGATTTTCCTGTTTTGGTTCTTCTCGTTGATCTTCATCAATCAGTATTTATTGATGAATGGTAACATATCAGATACTTTCAAGGAGCTAGAAATACCTCAAAGAGTCACAGTGTAAGAAACAAAATGAACAAATATGAATCATTCTTTTTTTTTTTATAATGTGTTTTTCCCCTCAATCTATTTATTTTAAAGGAATGGTAATCAGCATCATTGGAGGGTTGAGTGACAGCTGACAAGGAAAATTTTTAAGAACTAGAACAGAATTTTCTTTTTGAAGCCACATTAGGGAAAAGAAGATCTTTTTTTCAATGACTTGGACAAAGGAACTAGATGATATGCTATAAAAAATTGCAGTTGACATCAAAGCTAAGAGATATTGGGGCAGCTAGGTGGTGCAGTGGATAGAGCACCAGCCCTGGAGTGAGGAGGACCTGAGTTCAAATGTTGCCCCATACACATAACACTTACTAGTTGTGTGACCCTGGGCAAGTCACTTAACCCCATTGCCTAGCAAAAAACAAACAAACAAACAAAAAAGCTAAGAGATATTGCTCACATTGAATGACGACAATCAGGATTCAGAAAGAGATTATCAGGTTAGAACATCTGGCCCAAATCAAAGAAGGAATAGCATCACTGCTCTTGGTGAGTAAATGACATAAAAAAGGCAGAGCTGTTTATCTCATTTTGCTTTTGTTTTCTCTACCAAGGAGAATAATATTCAGACTGGAAAAGACAGAACAAAAATGGCTGCTAAGGAGTTGATGCTTCCTAAAAAGAGATAGAAATAAAGCACCATGTTGTTTTTAATCAATTCAAGTCACCTCGATCAGATTAACTACTCATTAAGGAGCTGAGAACTGACAGTTGTGAATGCTGAGTCACTGTTAACCATCTTTATGCAGGATTGGAAAAGGGCAGACTAATCAATTTAAAAGGAAAGAGAATGGAGTCTGTCAATTATAGTGAGCTTGATTTTGATTCCTGATAAAATTCTAGAACATGTTAATTAAAAAGATGGTAAATGACTGTCCAAAGAAAGGCTATGTTGTAAAGAGCTAACATAGCTTCAAGAAGAGTCCAATCTGATCTAAATTCACTTCCTTTTTTGACATAGTTGCTATACCAGCAGATTAGGGAAAATGCTGTAGATACAATTCATCTTTGCTGTTCTTGTGGAAAATATGGAGAGTTGTGGGCTAGACAGTATTCCACATAGATCAATTCAAAACTTGTTGGATGGCTGGGTCTAAAGAGTAGTCATAAATGGTTTTATATCAGCTTGGAAGGATCTCCAGTAGAGTGTCCTAGAGATCTTTAACTGACCTTGTGATGTTTAACTTTTTTTTTCAATGACTTCAGTAAAAGAAATAAGTGTGCTTAAAAAATTTTCAGTTTACATAAAAGCTAAGGGGATTGTTAATATGGGATAACAAAATCAGTATTTGAAAAGATCTCAGCAGGTTAGAACATTGGGTATAATCGAGTAGGATGGAATATAATGGGGATAAATTTAAAACCTTGCAAATTAGGTTAAAAAAATCAATTTCACAAGTATAAGATGGAGCAGGTATAGTAGACAGCAGTTATGAATAATATTTTGGGTTTCAGGGGACTGAAAATTCAGTATGGTCTCCCAGTGTATGGAAGTTTAAAAAAGCTAATACAATCCCAGGTTTAATAAGAAACATAATTTTCAGTACTAATGACATGAAAGCTTTGTTGTACTTTGCCTTGTTCAGACCACATCTGAAGTATTGTATTGGAGGATTGTTCCTTAAAAAAAAATTCTGAACTCAGCAAGCACCAAATAAAATGACCATTTTCGTGTACATAGTAGAACAGAGAAAGAGGATTGATTGTACATATAGCTGTGAAGGTCTATTGTGTACAACTTGCTTTTCTTTTATTATGTTACGTGCCATAAATGATAAATACAAATTATTACGTACCATTAATGTATAATAAATTCCAAAATGTAACTTTCAAAGCCGTCCTACTTGTCTGTGAGTCTTTTTGCCCTTCCTTTTGTTTTTATCTGTGCTTTTAAAAAATGCTTCAATGGCCCTCTTTATCTCCCTTTTGGGGGCAGTCTTATCCCTATCCTCTTTCCCCCTCCCACCTTCCCTAATTGGAAAAGAAAAGAAAAACAAAACCCTTATAACACATTTGTATAGTCAAGCAAAACAAATCCCCACATTTGCTGTGAACAAAAATGTATATCATTCTGCATATAGTGAGTCCATTACTTCCTTTTCAAGGGGTGGGTTAATTCATCATTGGTCATTGCCTTCATCAGATTTTTAAGTATTTGAAAGTTGTTTCTCTTTACAGGTTGCTGTTATTTTGTAAATTGTTTGTCAGGTTCTGCTCACTTCCATCTTCAATAATTCTCATAAGTCTTCCCAAGTATTTTTTGAAACTGTCCTTTTCATAATTTCTTGTGAAACAATAATAGTCCACTAAATTTCTACATCATAATGTGTTCCGCCATTCGTCAATTGATGGAGTGCCTTTTGGGGGGGAAGAAAATCTGGATTTTGCTGAAAGGGGAGTGGTGGTGAAAGGCCTTGAGATTATGCTATATAAAGACCTGATAAGTGCCATCATATGAAAAAGAGAATAGATTTGCTCCGTTTAGTCACAGAGGACAGAACTAGGAGTAACAGGCAGAAATTAAGGTCCGCAGTGAGGAAAAACTATGAAAAAGAGCTGTCTACAAGAAGAATGGACTGTTCTGGGAGATAGTGGGCAGGGTGGCTCTTCTCCTGCCCCCTCCCCACTAGAGGTCTTCAAACAAAGCCTGGATGACCTTTTGTTGGGGATTTTGTAGCTTGGATTCTTGTTCGAGAATGGGTTAGATTACATAACCTCTGAGGCCTCTTCCATCTGTGGGAGATAATGTGAAAATTGTTTGAGTTCAGAATTTTTTGCTTCATTTTGACACCTCTTGATGGTGGAAGGAATTTTTTTTTATAATTAGAGAATATTTCAAATATTATTTTCTTCTATACCATTGAGCCCAGGACAATATTAGATTCTATTCTGTGAAGAAATAATTTTCTTGAGCAATTTCCAGAAAGGAAGTGTATACATCTGCTGATTCACAAGCAGGTGGGGAGTCCAAGCGACTGGTGCTTGGAATGTGCAGAAAGGCATTTCAGCTGAGCTGTGAGTCTAGAATGAATGAGTATGTGTAATATGTGCAAGGAGTGGATTGGTTACATTGGTTGGCCAGAGTCCAGATGCTGAGATAGCATATAGTGAAGGGAAGGGAAAGCAGATCAGAGGTTGCTGCTTCCTAAGCTTTTTTTTTTTAAATACACTTTTATTGATAACTTTTGTTTTTATGTTGCCCTGTAACCCTCTGACTCCTCTTCCCAAACAGCTACCCATGCGATGACTTTTTTTTTCCCCTAAAGAAAAAGGTCTTAAACTGTTTTTAATGTGTTCACTGTTTCTTCTCAGACTTGCCAAAGCCTCAGGTAATCGAGCAGAGGGAACCAGATTCATTTCGAATGCAGATGCCTCAAGGGAACCCGTTACTGCTGTCTCACACCCTGCAGGAGCTGCTGGCCAGGGACACTGTGCAGGTGGAGCTCATTCCTGAGAAGAAGGGCCTCTTCCTGAAACACGTGGAATACGAAGTTTCCAGCCTGGTAATGGAGTCCTGTCTGATGGAAGGAAAGAGGGAGGTGGAAAAGGAGAACAGAAAAATCATGTGATTTGCTGTCGTATTGAATTGAAATAGTTAAAAGAAAAAAAAATGAGGTGGCAGCATCTTAAATAGTTTTGTTGCTCATATAATCCTGCCCTGCAGCATCACTTACTAACTGCCCTCCCAAAGTGACCTTTTATGATCTTTATTATGACCATCTCTCAAGCAGAGATGTGTGAATTAGGTACATTTATTTTGGCAATGATTTTGAAATATTAGTAAATTATTGAGGGCCAGAATAGGGGGCTGAGTAGTTTCCTTTGGTTTTAAATTAAGTTCTTAAGGGACAAAGATCAGAATGAAGCCTTTTTCATGCTTTCATGATTCTTTAGAAGGGGTATATAGCTCTCCCCAAAATAGTGGTTACCAAACTGGAGTCTTTTTTTATAGAACCATCATAGTCTTAGTAATGTAATCCTTTTCCTGCCTGATTACCCAGGCTGCATATATATATACATCCCCTGCCCCTCATATACTCTTCCTAGTTGACTTGCTGTTCCCTACACACGGTCCATCTCTTGCCCTTGTGCCTTCATACAGGTTGTTCTTCCTCATCATTGAAATATTCTTCCTCCTTGCCTTTGCCTCTTAGAAGCCCAGGTTTCCTTCAAGACTCAGTTCATGTGCTACCTCCTTCAGGGCACCCAGGTTTAAAACCTGAGAGTCATCCTCAACTTCTCACGTTGCCTTACCTTACACGTCCAGTCAGTTGCCAACTCTTGCCAATTCTACCTTCATAACATCTCTTGAATACATCATTTTCTCTACACTTGCATGGCCATCATCTTAGTTCAGGACCTTGTAATCCTTTTCCAGGACTTCTCTGAGAGCCCCCTAATTGGCCTCCCTGCCTTGAGTAACTTGAGTTACTTGAGTAACTCCATTTTCTAATCCCGATATCCCCATATAGCTGCCAAAGTTATGTTCCTAAAGTATGGCTCTGACCATGTCGCTTGCTTGATAAATTCTAGTGATTCCCTATTGCCTCTAGGATTTAATACAAACTCTTCTCTGACATTTAAAGGCCCTGGTTGGTTGACTCCAATTTACCTTTCTAGGCTTATTACATATTTATTCCCCTGCATGTACTCTATGATCCAGTCAAACTGTTCTGCTTACTGTTCTTTACACAGAACACTCCATTTTACATTTAGGTGCCTTTGCCCAGGCTGTCCCCCCATGCCATGCACTCCTTCCTTACCCCTGCCCTTAGATCCTCTGGTTTCCTTCAAAGTTCAGCTCCAACAGAACTCTTACATGATAGTTTTCAAGCTCTACTCCATTTTTAGTGTTCCCTCCCCAAGAATTACCTTGTATTTATCTCTCATACATTTTCTTTGTACTTAGATATGTGCTTCTTTAGAATTACCTTGTATTTATCTTTCATACATTTTCTCTATATTTAGATATGTATTTATTGTGTCTTTTAGAATGAAACTGCTTCATTTTGTATTTGTATCCTTGGTGCCTAGAACTGTGCCTGACACAAAATAACCTCTTGATAAATGCTTGTTGATTGCTTTATTGATTTAAGAATTAGCCTTTTCTTATTCTCTAGTTGTTGTTGCCCCCCCAAATCACTGTTTATGTATTTTGTGTACACACCTATATGTGTGCATATTGTCTCCACCAGCAGAACATAAGGTCTTTGAGGGTAGACATTGTTTCATTTTTGTATTTGTGTCCCCAGTAACTGGTACAGTGCCTAGCATGTAGTAAGTACTTAATGAATGCTTATTGATTGATCTGTGATAGTTTTGACATTTTGGTCCAGTCATAGTAAATTGTAATAGTGGATTTAGTTTTTTATCTTTGGAATGAGCCTATCAATAAAATGTAGTAAGAGTACTCTTCCATTATACAGTATTTGTATTCAAGAGACCCAGCAAGGTCAAGAAGCTATTCTGGGATAATACTGTTCATTCATAGCTACAATATTTCTACATAGGATCCCTTTTGCTACAAGGCAGTGTAGAAGAAATTATCATAGACAAATTATCTTGGGCAATAAATAATACAGTGAAGAGATGATGAAGGCTAGAACTAGAGTAGTGGTAGTAGGAGTGAAGAGAAATAGATGTGAGAGACGTTACTGAGTTTGAATTGACAGGATTTGGCATCTTACTGGATATAGGAGTGTGGGGAAAAGGGAAAAGAGAGATTGGAGGAAAGTGAAGAGATGAATATTACTTTTTGTTTTGTTTTTCTGAGGCAGTCAGGGTTAAGTGACTTGCCCAAGATCACACAGCTATTAAGTATCTGAATATTACTTTTGAACTTAGATGTTTGGTAAGGTGATAGTACACTCAACAGTATGGGGGCATTTGTGTAGGAGGAAGGATGATGATTTTTGGACATGTTGATTTTGAATTTCCGGTAGTACATCCAGGAGGAGAAATCTAGCAGACAGTTGGAGTTGGATTAGGATCCAAATCCAGTTGGAACTGGATTTCAGGATACAGATATAAATATACCTAGATAGGTAGAAAAATAAATATCTTACTCTTCATTTGGAGGTATGTGGATAAATCTCTAATCCTGATATTTCTCCTTTTATCTAGTCCCAAATCACTAATTGATCAAATCTCTCTCTCTCTCTCTCTCTCTCTCTTTCCCCCTCTCTCCCTCCCTCCCTCCCTCCCCACATGAGTGTATATGTGTGTGTGTGTGTGTGTTTGTGGGGGTGTGTGTGTTTTGGAGCTATAGGTATACAGGTAAACCCATGGAAATGGATGAGATGGCTAAGGGAGAGAGTATAGAATTAAAAAAAAAAGAAGGCCCTGGAAAGTGTCTTGGATATATCTTTTTACCAACGGGTTAAAAGTAGTACTTGTCACAGTGACTATAAAAATGTAATTGGAGACAAGTGCAACCACAAAAAAAATTGTAACTAAATGATGCAAAATTATGAAGTACTCACTTGGCCCCAAAGAAGAGCTGTAGGAAGACATATGTCCTGCTTCTTTGCAGAAGGAAGTAGAGGTCTTCAGATGTGGAACACTGCATATTATGTCAGATTTTTTTTCCTGTTGATTGGTTTTGATGGCTACCCCCCACTTCCTTTTTTAAATTCTATCTTATAAGGGATACCTTTCTGGGAAGGGGAGAAGTATAGGAGGAAATGTGGATATTTTATGAACAAAAGATAGCAGTACAAATCTATTTTTTTAAAAGTGTTGATTGATCAAAGACTTTTGTAGTGAGCCTTAGCTAAAATGAAATACTTGCTACTGAGAATGAGGAATATATTATTTTTAAATGTCTTTATTGTGAGTCAGAAAAGAAACATAGTAGATGAAATGTAGCTACAATTTCATGTGCCCATTGATTTTCCCTTTAATGAGTCGGAAGCCTTATATGCCTTTAAAAGTCTTTTGAACAGGGTCCAAGGACCCTTTCAGCAGATCCCCGTAGCCTTTTTATCTTCATTCTCCAATATCTGAATGCTAATAACTCACATAGAATAACAGTATTGTGATATTAAAAACTTGATACATTAGCCTGATTTGAAGAAATCACTAGATTTCTCCTTAAGGTAAGGAAGGAATCATTGGAAAATTGGTGAAATTATACTCATCACTTTTTAATTTCTGTTGGGGCAGAAAGAAGGAAAGAATGAATAATGGGCTGTAGTAGTTATTACTGTCCAGTTTGAGCATTAAAATCTCTCTTTTTTTTTTTAGCGCTTCAAGTCCTCCGTGTACAGAAGGTACAATGACTTTGTGGTCTTCCATGAGATACTGCTACAGAAGTTCCCCTATCGAATGGTGCCAGCACTTCCACCCAAGAGAATGCTGGGAGGTAAAGCTGGGATTTCGGGCAAATAGAATGGCAGAAAGGAAAACATTATCAGTATAGTGAAGTCTGCTTAATTATTGTAACTCAAATAGTTATAGTCTTTCATTGGCATAGTCTTTAGTTTCAAACCCCAGTGGGCATTTAGGTTCCACTCTTGGCTTAATGCATTTTCTTGGCTGTCATTTCTTTGACATCCTAGAGAATTTGGAAGTGGTGGAGAGAATGGTGCTTTGTAATGAATTATGCACATCATTTTGAGGAATCCAAAGGATGCCATATACAGCATGGAACAGAAAGCATATAATAATTTTTGAGAGTTTACTAAAGATCTTCAATTTTATTTACTGAATCAAAGTAGAGAATTAGATAGAATTTGAATCTGGCTACCATTAAAGCAAAGACCTTTGTTTAGTCCAGCTTTTGATAAATATTAACAGTATGATATTGGGTAAGTCGCTTAACCTCTTGGTCCCCAAGGCAGCTCTCTAAAACTATTAACCACAATCATGTTGTGTGTAGCAGTGGTGGTAGTTTCCACACTAGTATATCCTCATATTGATGAAATTACAGATCTGGAATAAAAAACAAAACCAAAATTTCATTTAGTACCTCTGAAAGTGTTAGGTAGTGTGGAAAGATACTTGATAGTATTTGAAAGAAAAATTATCATTCAATGGAATTCTTATCATTTGATTTTAAAAAATAATGTGTATTATTAATTACCAAGCCCAAATATTCTTTAGTATAAAATATATATCCAATCTTTTTTTCTCCCTTATGTAGAAAAAAGTACGAATGAAAGCTTTTAATTTGAAGCAAATACAAAATAAACTAGGCTAGTATTTGAAAGTTGAGGGAAGTAGAATTGATTTTAATTAAGATGTAAAAGTGCAACAGAACTCATTTATTCATAACAAAAAGGCTTTTATTTAGCTGGACATAGCTTGCAATCCAATTTAGTTTCCAGTCTGTTATGTAGAAGTAGGATTTGTTGTTTTCCTTTTCATTGCCTAACTTTTCAAAATATAGCTAATTCCCATTAGTGCAAATAATGAAGTCCACTGAGTGGTCGCATATATGTGAATTTGTACTATTTGAATTTATGGTTATGTAAATTATGTTAATTGTTCCAGCTCAATAGGAATATGCAGTTCAAATTAAAATAAGATGACCACTTCATGGCATTTATTATTTGTATTAATTGGAACCTGGCAATCATATGTAGAAGGTGTGGCTCCTGCCTCTCCTAACACTTCTTTGGCTCTGTTGTGTTGGTGATGCTTATGCTCCCAGGATTAGGAGCTCAGTCGAGCCAATATGAAAAGTTGTGAGCTTCATTTTTGTGTACTACCAGATTCAGGATTGTTTGAATGTAGAAGGTTGTTAGTATTGAGGATGGTAACAGCTCCAGTTTGGGTAAGGTTAAGGGGCAATGGAACTTCCTTTGTAAATGTTCATACGCTTTTATTTCCTCTAGCTGACAGAGAGTTCATTGAGACCAGACGGAGAGCTTTGAAACGCTTCATTAACCTGGTGGCCCGGCATCCCCCTTTCTCGGAGGATGTAGTCCTGAAACTGTTCCTCTCATTCAGTGGCTCAGTAAGTATTGTTTAAAAATAACATCAATGTGAATTTTTCATTCTACTTGTATAGTAGAGTAAGTATTTTTCTGCTCATAAATCTGTTTTCTTTTTTATCTCCTTTTCTTTTTCTATCACCTGTCTTTTGTCTTTGGCCTTAAAGCACCGAAGGTATATTTCTTAAGAGTGACTGGGTGTACGTATTGTGTGTAGAGGAAATTAACCTTATACTCAGTACCCTTTTGAGAGGTGTACTTGGTTATGGCAATGTAGCATTTAGGCTTATCTTTGTTAGAAATGTTTCGTTTTTTAATTGTAATTAATGGTAGGATTTAAAGACTATTTACATACAGCTATATCCCTTGGATCATGTAGTTATATGTATTTCAGATGTTGTGGAAAAGTGTTTAGATACAAAACCAAACACATTACTTTGATGTTTTATTGATTTTTTTTTTTACATAGCTATCACTTCCTAGTGACCCTGTATCAAATAGAATCCCTCTCTCATAACATAGAAACATAGCAAAACAACTTAATACATTGGTCATGTTTTAACCACTTTTTACCAACAAAGATCTAGTGGTAATTTAATAAGTAATTTGAGAATCAGGCTTGTGGGAAACAGATGAAATCCAGTCAATAAGCTGGTCAGTTGTTAAGTATTTATTAAGTGCCTGGTAAGTGTCAGGCATTTTGCTAATCTCTAGGGGTACAAAATTTAGAGGCAAAGGACATTCTCAGCCTTTAAGGAACTATAGTTTAATAAGGGAGACAATAAACAAACAAATACATACAAACAAGCTACATACGAGTCTATAGCTCGTTTAAATAGTATGAATAGGAAATAGCTAAAAGAGGGAAGGGTCTGGAATTAAGAGGGGTTGAGAAAGTCTTGCTGTAGAAGACGGGAAGTTGGGACTTAAGCCAGGATAGGCAGTAGACAGAGATGAGGACAGAGATCATCCCAGGCATGGAAGACAGCCAGAGAAAATGTTCAGAGTTAAGAGATGTGTTGTCTTGTTTGTGGAACAGACAGGAGGCCAGTGTCATTGGACTGAAGAATCTGTACTACATGGTAAGGTGTAAGAACACTGGAAGGCTAAGAGGGAACTAGGTTATGAAGTACTTTGAATGCCAAACAGAAGGTTTTGTATTTGATTCTGGGGATGATAGGGAGCCATTGGAGTTTGATGATGATATGGTCAGACCTACACTTCAGGAAAATCATTTTAGTGGCTGAATAGAGGATGGATTGGAATAGGGAGAAATTTGAGACAGGCAGACCCACCAGCAGACTATTGCAATAGTCCGGGTGTGAGGTGATGAGGCCCCGTACCAGAGTGGTGAAAGTGTCAGAAGAGAGAAGGCGGCCTGTTCAGAAGATGTTGCAAAGGTGAAATCAACAGGCCTTAGCAATAGTTTGGATATTGCGGGGTGAGAGAGAGTAGTGATAATCCAGGATGACTTCTAGGTTTCATGTCTGAAGGACTGAGAAGATGGTGTTGACCTTTACAGTAATAGGGAAGGTAGGAGGGGAAGCGGGTTGGGGGAAAGATAATGAGTTTGGTTTTAGACATATTGAGTTTCAGGTATCTATTGGATATCCAATTTGAGATGTTTGAAAAGTGGTTGGAGATGTGAAATTGGAGGTCAGCAGAGAGTCTGGAGCAGGAAATGTAGATTTGAGATTTATCAGTATAAAAGATGGTAATTAAATCTGTGGGAGCTGATAGGATCCCCAAGTGAAGTAGCATTGAGGGAGAAGAAAAGAGGGCCCAGGATAGAATCCCGAGGTCATGTTAGAGGGTATGTTCTGGAAGAGGAGACAGAGAAGGTGTGGTCAGATAGGCAGGAAGAAAACCAGTGGAGAGTGGTGTCCTGAAAGCTTAGATAGAAGAGAGTATCAAGGAACGAGGAGTGATCAACAGTGTCCGAGGCTGCAGAGAAGTCAAGGAGGATGATGACTGAGAAAAGGCCATTGAATTAGACAACCAAGAGATCATTGATAACTTTGGAGAGAGCTATTTTGGTGACATGATGAAGTTGGTATTTTATAGTTATTGTTTCATAGATCATACTCTCATCTACATTTTATGAGAGGCAATATTGCATCATGATTTGCTGGTCTGCAAGTCAGGATGACGTATATTCAAGTCCTTCCCCTGACACAAACTCTTTGTGTTACTCTGTGCAAGTCACTTCATGTCAGTGCTCTAGGCAGCTCTGATCCTCTTACGCTACCCAGTGACTGAGCTGTCTGTATTGGGTGGAGGGTGTTTCACTGCAGAGAGCTCCTGACACTGAGGAACATCAGTAGATATGTATGCCTATGTTTCTATATTTATGTCTCTACACTCTGTGTGTTTGTGTGTGTGTGTGTATGTATGTACATTTCCACTAGAATTAAATGTGGAGTTTTTCTCATCTAAGCTAGAATCATACAGCTTAATTTGAAGTCAGACCAGTCAACACAGGAAGAACCTAAAGAAAGGAGCCTAGCTCTTATTGAGATAGAATTGCTAACTGAGAAAGCAACCGGTAACAAGGACAGTTCCAAATCTTTTTAAAAAAAATCTGTTATCTGAAAATCATCAACAAATATGAACATTTCCAACTACAATGTCAAAAAATGGAGATTGCCTATGAATATGTGAATCTTTAGTACAGTGTTAAAAATATGTATTTAACAGACTAGTAACAACATTGCCTTGCTTGTCTGTGTCCCCTTTTGAACTTCCTTCTGCTTTTTTCAGTGTAGTTTTAATATGTATCATTGATTCTCTTTTCTTTATTTTCTTTTTTTAAGCCTCTATATCACCACTCCCCCATTTCCTTCCACATTTCTTCCCCATTGGGCCCCCAAATAAAAGCCCTCCTTTGTAACAAAAATGTAGTCAAGCAAAATGAATTTGTGTTATTAATTGTTGTGTCTGAAAATATATGTCTCTTTCTGAATCTGTAATCCATTTGTCCCTTCACCAAGAGGTAGGAGGCATGCTTCATCATCAATGTTTTAGATTGGACATTTCACTGATTAGAGTTCTTAAGTCTCTCAAAAGTGTTTTTTTTTTTTTTACAATGTTGTAGTCATTTATAAGTTGTTCTCTTGGTCATTCTACTCAGTATTAGCTAATACAATTTTTCCTGGGTTTCCCTGAATCTGTCCCTTTTGTCGTTTCTTATGGTTTAATGATATTCCATTACATTCACATCCTATAATTTGTTCAGCCATTTTCCAGTTGATGGGCACCCATTTTGTGTCCAGATATTTGCAAACAACAAAAAAGTGCTGCTACAAATATTTTTATGCATATGGTTCTGTTCCCTCTTTCTTTGGTCTTTTTGGAATATATATTCCTTATAGTGGTATTTAGGAATTAAAGGATCTAAACAATTTAGTGATATTTGGGTATAGTTCCAAATTGCTTTACAGAATGACTGTATCAGTTATTAGTTGCATTAACAATGCATTAATCCAACATTAAATAAATTATTTGGAATAATAGGAAAAGAAGTTGTCCTACCAAACTCCTTTTATGAAACAAATATGATGTTGACATCTAAACCAGGAAGAGCAAAAACAGAGAAAGAAAATTATAAACTAATTTCACTAATAAATATGGATGCAAAAATGCTAAATAAAATACTAGTTAGGAGACTACAATGATATGTCACAAAGATTATACATTGTGACCAAATGGTAGTTATACTAGGAATGCAGAGATGGTTTAAAACTACTAACGTAATTGATTATATCAATAAGAAAAATAACAAAAATCATATATCAGTAGATACAAAAAAAGCTTTTGACAAAATACAACATTCATTCCTATTTAAAACATTTGAAAGCATAGGTATAAGTGAATTTTTCCTTAAAATGATAAAAAACATCTACCTAACACCAATAGCAAACATTATTTGTTACAAAGATAAGCTCGAAGCCTTCTCAGTAAGATCAGGAGTGAAACAAGGATACCCATCATCACCAATATTCTTCAATATTGTATTAAAAATTCTAGCAATAGCAATAAGAGAAGAAAAAGAAATGTAAGGAATCAGAATGGGCAGTGAGGTAATAAAACTATCTTTTTTTTTGCAGATGATATAATGATACTTGGAAAATCCTAGAGATTTAACTAAAAAGCTAGTTAAAACAACTAACAAATTTAGCAAACTAGCAGATATAAAATAAACCCATATAAATCATCAGCATTTCTATGTATCACCAACAAAGCCCTCCAAGAAGATATATAAAATAATTGTAGACAGCATAAAAGACCTAGGAGTATACCTGCCAACACATACCCAGGAACTACATGAATGTAATTATAAAACACTTTATACAAATAAAGTCAGATTTAAGTAATTGGAGAAATATTAGTTGTTCATGGGTGGGCAGAGCCAGTATAATAAAAATGACAATTTTACCTAAATTAATCTACTTATTCAATGCCATCCCAATTAAATTACCAAAAAAAAATATTTTGAGCTAGAAAAAATAACAAAATTCATTTGGAAAAAGAAAAGGTCAAGAATAGCAAAGGAATTAATGAAAAAAAAGGTAAAGAAGGAGGTTTAGCAGTGCCAGATTTTAAACTATTATAAGACGGTAATTTTCAAAACTATCTGGTATTGGCTAAGAAGTAGAAAGCTGGATCAGTGGAACAAAGTAGACATACAATACACAGTGGTAAAAGATTATAGTAATCTTGTATTTTGACAGATGTAAAGATTTAAGCTTGTGGGATAAGAATTCAGTATTTCGTAAAAAAAAAATTATTGGGAAAACTGGAAAGTAGTCTGGCAGAAATTGGATATAGACCAGTATCTGACACCATTTACCAGTGTAAGGTCAAAATGGATATATGAACTAGTCAGGGGTGGGGAACCTGCGGGCCACGGACCTCTAGGTCCTCAAGTGCAGCCAGACTGAGTCCAAACTTCACAAAAAACATTGTCTTAATAAAAGGGTTTGTTCTGTAAAACTTGGACTCGGTCCAAGGGCCGCACCCAAGGAACTCGAAGGTCACATGTGGCTCCAAGGCCAAAGGCTCCCCACCCCTGACCTAGATATAAAGGGAGATATCATAAGTAAATTAGAAGAACATGGAACAAACATATTACCTATCAGACCTATGGGTAGGAGAAGAATTTATGAATAAACAAGAGATAGAGAGCATTGTGAGGTATAAAATGGATGATTTTGATTGTGTTAAATTAAAAAGGTTTTATACAAATAAAACCAATGTAGCCAAGATTAGAAGGAAAAGCAGAAAATTGCGGGGGAGATTTTGTAGATAGTTTCTACATATCTCCATTATATAGAGAACTTTGTCAAATTTATAAGAATATGAGTCATTCCCCAATTGATATATGGTCAGAGGATATGAACAGGGAGTTTTTTGGATGAAGAAATCAAAGCTAAGAAATCTGAGTCATATAAAAAAATACTCTAAATAATTATTGATTAGAGAAATGCAAATTAAAGCAACTTTGAGATATCATCTCACACCTACCAGATTGGCCAAAATGATAGAAGGGGAAAATGACAAATGTTGAGGGCATGTGGAAAAATTGGGACACTACATTGTTGGTGGAACTGTGAACTGATCCAACCATTTTGGAGAGCAATCTGAAATTATCCCTAAAGAAATATAAAACCATGCGTACCCTTTGGCCCTGCGATACCACCATTAGGTCTTTTTCGCAAGGTGATCAGGGAAAAAGGAGAAGAACTTATATGTTCTAAAATATTTATAGCAGCTGTCTTTGTGGTTTCAAAGAACTGGAAATTGAGGAGATGCCCATTAATTAGGGAATGGCTAAACAAATTGTGATGGAATAATACTGTGCTGTAAGAAATGATGAGCAGATTGATTTTAGAAAAGCGTGGAAAGACTTAAATGAAATAACGAAGAGTGAAACAAGCAGAACCAAGAGAACATTGTATACATTAACACCAATATTAATTAAAGAATAACTGTGAACGACTAAGTTACAGAATGGTGGCCTTCTGTAGTGTGGGGTGGGAAAGGAGGGAGAGAGTTTAGAACTTAAAATGTAACAAAACAAACAAACAAAGAAAAACTAGTGCATTAGTGTACTCCTACAGCCCCTTCAATAATTGTCATTTTCCCTTTGTTTTGGTTTGTCTGGAGAACCGTGACATCAGGGAGATGATGACTTGACTTTGTCTGATTGACTAATTTGAGTGAGGGAGGGCTATGCAAAGTCACCAGCCTCAGTTTTTCCTCCAGGGCAATTTGGGTCCAGTGGCTAGATCAGGATGATTGGAGATGGCCCAGGATGCAGTGGGAGAGCTTGGCCCTTTTAAGCTAAGGTCTTTTCAGGTTCTCACATTGAGTGAGGTCACACCCATTGGGTGAATAGTCCTCTTTAAGAAGTGAGTCATGGGATGGCCTCTTTAATTAAAAAAAAAAATCAAACTGGGAAGTGAAGACCTTCTGGGCTGCTGACCAGAAGAGAAACAGTTACTATTTACATTCACTCTGAGCAAGGAGGGCCCAAAAAATAACCATTAAGTGGTGCTTGGGCAGGGACCTATTGTTGTCCAATCCCTGAGCTCCTCAATGAATTGAGTGTAAGGCTTGGTTTTTCAGAAAGAAATCTAGCCTGTCAACCTCTAGTTAACTAGGTAAATTTTGGCTTATCAGTATTTACTTTCCTTTGGGCAAAACACCCTCAGGTAAGGGAGAGGAGAGGAGAAGTCATCTTTATTAGTCTGATGGATGTGAAGTAGAACCTCAGAGATGTTTTCATTTGAATTTGTCTCATTATTGTTGGCATGGAGTGTTTTTTCATGTGGCTGTGGATGTCTTGATTTCTTCCCAAAATCTTTTTCTAAGCATGAGAGGATGTGTAATTGTTTCAGTATTAAAATATGCAGTTGAGGAAAGAAATGGCTTATTTGGGAAGCACTTTTCCCTTGTTATAACAATAAAGTCAACTATTGAGAATACCGTATTGCTATGGATCAGACAAGACCAGGAAGGAGTTCCTTATAATATATTCCTTAATATATTGTGTATATAGTGTTGTGTATAATATATAGTATTATATAATTATATATATATATATATATATATATATATATATTCCTTCTTCCTACTATAAGAAAAACTTGTATTATGTGGTGTAAGGAAAGACAAAGTTAGCAAAAACCTTAGCTTCTTATTTTTCTTCCATTTACTGAAGGGACAGAGATAGGCTTTGGCCTTTCAAAGATACCTATAACATATAACTCTATAGCTGGCTGAAGATAACTGTAGGTAATGTGTCTTATATGTTATCTTTTTTGTAACCCAAAGTACTTACCATGGAGCAAGTGGTTAAAATTTTTTTTTTTTTTTGCTGTATTGAAAGCAACTTGAGTGTTTTAACCATCAGGTTAACTATAATTTTTTGAAAGTGAATTATTGTTTGCCACCAGAGAAGTGAAAGGACTAGTAAGAGCTGTGAGGCATAAAAAGAAAGAAGAGAGGAGAGGATGAGCATGAAAGTGGATAGAAAGAAACTGCAGCATGTAAGATAGGAAGACCATGTTTAAATACATAAAAATGTGTTTAACACATTTCATTGCTGCCGTTAATGAGGTTTTTCAGTTGTGTCTGCCGGTTCATGACCTTGTGGACCATAGCATGCCAATGCTGTCCATGGGGTTTTCTTGGATTGGTTTCCCATTTTTGGGACTTGTCCAGGGTCACACAGCTAGTAAGTGTCTGAGGCCAAATTTGAACTCAGGTTTTCTTGATTCTGGGACCAGGTGTCTATCCACTGTGCCACCTAGATGCCTCCATTACTATTTATGCCTTGCCTTTATATACGGCTTTAATGAACAAAAGTTAGCTCTAGGAACTAATTTTTAATATACTAAAAGCTCCCTCATTCTGGTCAGCCATCAATAGGAGAAACTTTGCTTGCTATTTCCCATTTCAGTGAGACTACCTGATTAATGGTTTCTATACTGTTTTTTCTGTATGATTTCATCTTTCTTTTTTCCTTTGGTTATGCCCTATATTATGGTGTTCACTAGGCCTCTTGCTTTAGTCAAATGTGCACTGTGTTTCCATGTCATCATTGCTCCATCAGATCCAATGGATGCATTTTTGTCTGCAAAGAGGTGCCGGTCCTGATGTAGGTAGAATCCTGCCAGCATTCAAATGCTGGCATTCTATTCGCTAATGCTGAAGTTGAATCTGCCTTTCATATCTCCATATAGCTACTCTGATTGTAACAGGTTCAGTTAAAAATTTAAAGAGGAACAGATGTTTAAAAAATTGCTTTTTTATGGAGAGGGAAACAGTTTCCCTCTCTTGAAGGAAAGACTATATCTTTCCTTTAACTGGTAAATTGCTCTGACAATTCCCCCCACCGCTGCCTTTTTTTTTTCCCCAAATAGAAGGTTAAGCATATTCTTTGTTTCTTTTCCAGGATATACAGAATAAACTGAAGGAATCAGTCCAGTGTGTTGGAGATGAATTCATGATTTGTAAACTGGCTACTCGAGCCAAGGTATCTTTTTAATTGTTACTTCTTTCTTCTTTATTCCAAAATATAAATAAACAGGTTATCTTTTATATTAAAAGCACTTCAGATTCAGTACTATGTCCTAAACTTCTCCCTTACTTTAAAAAAAACCAAACATGTCTCTATATTTTATCATTGTTCTTTCTTAACTCACTTTATTTTTAAGGATTTAGGTTCTTAGGTTAGAATTCATAAACCAGATGGCTTATGATACGGATGGGTCTCAGGGAGGGAGAATGAGTGAGAGGAAGGAAAAGAAGTCTTTCTCTTATAAATAACCTAAGAAGGGGCTGTTTATAAGTTCGAGGCTCATTGGGTACTTTTTGATGTTTTACTTCAAATCAAACACTTTTCTATTGCTTTTTCAGACCAATGTGTTCTTGTAGAGTTGTTTAGTAATTTTGGTGGGCAGGATGTGATTTGTCTTTCTCCTCTTTTAGGAGATAAAAAAGAGACATCAGGGAAAAGAAATGTGGGGTTAGGAAAGTGTCTTCAGATTTTATTTATTGGACTTTGGCTTTGTGTTTGGCTAGACCAGGGAGTGCTTAATGTCCCTATTGGTGATATGTTTGTTTTATTAACTTATACTTTGTGGGAATTATTTCAGTTTCACTAACAATTCTTTTTTGTTCTCTCTTCTTGCCTTTTCTCTGTATTAGGACTTCCTCCCAGCTGACATTCAGGCACAATTTGCTGCCAGTAGAGAACTGATCAGAAATATCTATAACAGCTTCTATAAGCTTAGAGATCGGGCTGAAAGGATTGCATCCCGAGCCATTGACAATGCTGCTGACCTCCTCATATTTGGGAAAGAATTAAGGCAGGTGGCAGAAGAAAGCTTCACAGTGGGAAATGCTGGATGTTTTGAGTTTGAGGAGCATTCTCTAGTGAAAAGATTGCTGAGCTTGGAGTCAAGAAAGGCTTGGGTTCATCTCCTGCCTTCCACTTTTGTTCTCTTTGTTAAATGATATGGTCCTGTCATTTAACCTCTTTAGACCTTAGTCTCCTCATCTTAAAAGTGGCGATAATAATAATAGTAACTGTCTCAGAATGTTCTCAGGTATCAAATGAAATAATATATGTACAACACTATATAAGTATCTCATAATTGGGTGACTTAGAATGTACATTTTAATGTTCTGAAGAGTGACCATTTCTCCATTTAGAGGCAACTAGAGTGAAAGATCGGAGGGCTCTGTTGGTCTCCTTGGGATGTTGGGGAAAAGGGAAGTAGGCCTCCAGCCTGTTGGGTGGACCCGTGGTTCTGAATTTATGAGAGGCCATGAACAAGAGTAGCTGAAGAGAGGCAAGCATGGATGGGCTGCTGTCTACTTCATTGGAGGGATCTCTGAAGATAATGAGCCCACAAATCCATTTGAATATTTGTGTACATGTGACCATGTCAAGTCATCAAACTTTTTTGTTTAGTAAAATTAAAGGTTTGATGAATGAAAATTTTTTCTTTTCTCTTTTACTCAGTGCTTTAGGATCTGACACAACACCACTTCCCTCCTGGGCCACGATGAATAATAGCACATGGGGGATGCTAAAACAGGCTTTAAAAGGCCTATCTGTTGAATTTGCACTGCTGGCTGATAAAGCTGCACAACAGGTAAGTTATCTAGGATCTCTGAGTGTTTATTTTTAAGGAATGTTCTCTATTATAGTCTTTAGGAACGTCTCTTTCTTAGGTAGACTTCAAAGTTTTTCGTCCAATGAGAGGGAAAAACTTGTCTTCTGCATAATCTTTATAAATTCCAGGTAGCTTAGCATGTGCCAGTTCAGCTGTTTGCTGATAGCAAAAATAAATTTGGGTTGGATTTCTTAAGAGAATTTACTTTGCCGGAGATTAGAAGGCATAAGCCCATCTTGAAAATGTAACTTTTAAATCTCTAGACTGTTGCGCCTTGATGAACCTGGAGCTTTCTATTTTACTTACTGTCTGTATAATTTGTATTAGGTTAGGCAGTGACCTAGTTCATCAGAATGTAACTAAGCCTCCAGTGTTGCCTCTTTTTTTGATCCTGAATACTCAGTTAAACTACTGAAATGCTTTTGTAACAGCCATTTGCTGTTTTTAGAAATCGATACAGAATTTTAAAGGCTGTCAGTTCAAGGATATGAGAAATAAACAAGTTCTATCTGTGTACTTATTTTATTATAAAAATATTGTGTGACTTTGGAGGAGACAGAGTCTACTTCTCTTTCCACAAAATGTGTGGTTCTGACTTCGGTAAATAATGCAAATTATGTTTGAATATTTTTAAAGCTCTGATTCCATCTATGATTTCCTAATTCCATAGTTAACTTAAGTAACAAGAACTGCGATTAACTGAAGTGTCGTGATCTGAGCCATATGCCGAAGAGTTGGGGGCTTTCCCATCTAATGGTTGGGTGCCCATTGATGAATTTTACGATTAAGAGATAATTGGGTTTGTTTGTGGCCCTGGAAAGTCCTGGGTTTCCTTCCTGCTTTGCCTTTACTGTGTTTATCTTTTCTCTTTCCCTTTACATATTCACCATAACATTTACTTTAGGGATCTGCAGGTTTAATCCTGCAGTTTTGTAGACCCACAGTTTACCCCCTTGCTTTGGCGAGTTTGGAAATAGAAATGGAGAAGGGTGGATTTGCTTTAATTTTAGGTAACAAGAAGCATTTTGGCATAGTTGGTAGAGCATTGAATTTGGAGTTAGGAGAATCTTATCCTGGCCTTGCCATTATCAATTATTCATTCAAGAATATATTAAGTATCTTTTCTGCAGGATGACCCTCAGCTATATCCATAACTTCACTAGGCTTCAGTTTGCTTGTTTGTGAAATAAGGATGTTGCTCTACATAATCTTTAAGGGACCTTCTAGCCCTGTGCTTTCTGACGTAGTAAAGACTGTTTTGATTCTTAATGTCTGGAGGCCGAGTTTTAGGGGGAACAGCCAGGAAGTGAAATGTCATTTGCTGTATGTTCTTTTGGAAATATGGCTGTATAAGTTATAGAAAATTTTCAAAGTACTTTGTACTCTAATTGGCACCCTTAGGACTTTTTAGCCATGGTGCAATAAAATTCATGATGATGAGGGGGAAATTATTGTGATTAGAAGTATATAGCTGTTTCTTAGTTATAAAGTTGGCATTTTGAAAATTGTTAAAGGCACCTGGCGCACTGACATTTTATGGCCTTATGGTTCAAAGCATTGGTATGTGAACTGGACTCACTGGTAAGTTGTAGGATTTGAAGTAAGAGCTGCAGTTAGCCATCTTCTCTAGGCCAGTAAGAAAGTCCTTCACTTTTCTCTCACGAGTAAGATGGGAATACTATGTACTCTCCCAGCCTGTCGAGCTCTCTCTTCTCCATATTTTACATATCTCTTAACATCTCACTTTTTCCATTAAGCCTTATTAGATGAACTCACTGGGAGGTAGATTTTAGATTTGAAGAGTAGAAGGGACATCAGAGAGCATAGAGTTCAATCTGTTCTGTAGCACATTGGATTAATAGTGTGGTGATAGCTGGTAGATGTGGCTCTAGGTGTGTCTGTAATGGAAATGGAAGTATTTTTACCTGGGATCCATCTCCAGTTTCATGTACATTGTTTTAGTAGAAAGAAAGGATTCCATATTGTAGCTAATTGTTCTATATGAGCATCACCGATCTGTTTTAGTGTAAGATAGCAGGAGTAGTAGGTGCTATCCGCTTCTCTTTCTTCCTCTTGTTGCTCTGAGTCACTTGAAAGCTCCAGTCATTGGCCTGTATAGCAGTTTTGTACTCCTTAATGTTTTGGGCCTAGAGCATTTGTACCAACTTAACATGCCTCAGGTCCCATAGCTAGTTAATTGAGCCTGACTTCCAAGCACGTGGTTTCTATTTCCTGCGTCACTCTGAAAATAACATATTGTTATTACCTTTCTTAAAAAAAAAAAACTAATCAAGTAGACAGACATTTATTAAGCACAGTATTTGACAAGCACTGTGTTAAATACTGGGAATACAAAGAAAGGCAAAAAATAGTCCCTGCTCTCAAAGAGCTCAGTCAAATGGAATTAAAATAATGATTTATATTTCCTTTTGCCTTTGTTTGGGAATTAAGAAGATGATAGTACTAGTTTCAAGCTGAAATAGCAAAGTGTTGAGCAGAAATGGACAGACATCTATTTTAGAGTCAAAACTGTTCATATTGTCAGTCAGCTGTGATGCTCTTGGCTTATTTGACTTGCTCCCAATGCTTATCTTGCCTCTGTAGCATTATGAGCATGATGACAGTGTGCCATACTGCTGGTTTGCGGTGGCATCTGTCTAGTAAAAAGAGCTTTGGATTTGTAGTTGGTGTATCTAAGTTCAAATATCACTTCTTCTGTTTACTGCCTATATACCCTTGGACAATTCACTTAGCCTTTATGGGTCTCAGTTTCCTCGTTTGTAAAATGAGGGGATTGGACTTTTCAACCCACAGGAAGTCTAAAACTCCCCCCTGCCTATCTCCTGCCCTGCTTCATTACAGTCTGTCTAAATATCCTAAGTCTGTCTCCTAAGTCTGCTTTCTTCCACCATGTCACTTTGCCCTCTTGGGGGCTAGAGGGGATCTCTAAGGTCAAAGCCTCTAGTTCTAAACTAGATTCTATTAAAGGAAGATTCTGGGCTGACTCTGGGGTTTGGAAAAAGGCTCTAGGTAACAAGTAAGTTTGAGAAATTTTAAGGATGGGTTTCTGACTGGGTTTATCTGTATGATGGATGTGCTGGTTAATTCACCCCTTGTTTTGTAGGGTAAACAGGAAGAGAATGATGTGGTGGAGAAGTTGAATCTCTTCTTGGATTTGCTCCAGTCCTATAAAGTGAGTTTTGTCTGTTTTCTTGCCAGAGAGAGAGCTTCTCAGAATGGTCTTGTGACTTTTCCAGGGTGTAACTTTTTTCAGGGAATAGAAAACTAATAGAGAAGTCAGTATTGAAGCACAAGGTGGTTGACCATCTGTCATAGATAATGCAGATGGGATCACTACATGGGTGGTTAGGTTAAACTGAGGTCTTAGATAACTTCTAATATCCCTTCCAGTGCTAAGATTCTATGTCTGTGTCTTCTCATGAGATTCCTAGTTGGGGATGCTCCAAGATACATTGGATTAAAATACCTCAAGAAAAAAAAAACAACACCTTAAAGCAAGGGGCAGGTAGTTGGCATAATGGGTAGAGCTGTAGCCTTGAAATCAGGAGGACCTGAGTGCAAATCCGGCCTCAGACACTTGACACTTACTAGCTGTGTGACCCTGGGCAAGTCACTTAACCCTGGTTGCCTCACCCAAAAGCAAAAAAAAAAAAACCTCAAGAAAAATGTAGAAAGTCTTCAGTATTTCTACACTTGGATACTGGCTCTTCAAAATTTTGATGGAAATTAACTAATGTCTGTAGGCTGTGGACTGTACATCTCATTTTTATTAAACTTCTCTATCCTTTATCTGACTTTCTTTCAAAGCCCAGCCTGTTTGTTTAGGACCAAAGTTCAGGACTTTTGTTGATTTGCATAGTCAGTTCTCCACAAAAATCATGAGAGTGGTGGGTCAAATTAGAACTAATATTTCTTTGTGAGTTTTTATGGGTTCAAATTCATCCTCTTCCCTGCTCTGCATTTTTGTGAGCACAAAATATGAATCAGGGGTGTCTTTCTGCTGGTTTTTGAGGAAGATAACTTATTTCTTTCCTATTGTCTTTCATTGTCATTCATGTCTTTCATATCAGGAAATTTTGGGAAAAAAAAAATTATTTTGAAGTCATTTTCTGGAAATCGGTATAATTCCCACACAGTGCTCTATATTCCCCACCCTCCCACTCTGTCCTCCCTTGTCAGCAGTTTTCCTCCCCAGGAAATGAAGTGAAAGTAGAAGTAGGGGACTTGTACAGTTATTTTGTCTTTGGGTTCTTCTGCAATTGGCTCTTAGTAGAGGGATGGAGAGGGTGTTGGTAAGTATGCCATCTTTCCCTTTCTATTCCAGGATCTCTGTGAAAGACATGAAAAGGGTGTGCTTCACAAACACCAGCGAGCATTGCACAAGTACAGCATGATGAAGAAGCAGATGATGAGTGCTACGGTGCAGAATAGAGAACCAGAGAGTGTGGAACAGCTGGAGTCTCGCATTGTGGAGGTAGCGGACTGGCAGCCAAGAGGGCAAAGTGACATGGTGGAAGAAAGCAGCCTTAGGAGACAGACTTAGGATATTTAGACAGACTGTAATGAAGCAGGGCAGGAGATAGGCAGGAGGGAGTTTTAGACTTCCTGTGGGTTGAAAAGTCAGCTTGGATTTCTCCAATTGAGCCCCATTATATGAATAGCCCCCAAAATGTGGTTAATAAGCAGGGCTGGTGATAACAATGGAAATTGCATGGTATGTAGACATGCTGACTAGTGGATATCTGAAAGTGTTGTTTTTACAACTGATTTTGCACTTTCTCCCCAGTGGGTTCCCCTGCCCCCCAATTGACAGTTTCCAAATGCTATGTTAAGTCAATTTTACTTTTATTTGGCTTCATTGGTCAAATGAATGAAAAAGGATCAGCCCTACCTTCTGGGATGATATATATCTTAATAAAAAATGATGCTCCTCTTGAGATATATCTAGACATGCTTCTCAGAGATTCTTTCCTTTTCAGCAAGAAAATGCAATCCAGACAATGGAACTCCGGAATTATTTCTCCTTATACTGTCTACATCAAGAGACCCAGCTTATTCATATCTACTTGCCTCTTACATCACACATTTTAGGAGCCTTTGTCAACTCTCAGATACAAGGCCACAAAGAGGTGATTACTTGCCCATCTTTCTTGTGTAATTCTATCTTGAGATCTACCCTAGTTATGTAGCTAAGGGTGGCCATTTTACTCTCCAGTTATTCTGGCCTTAAGATTGATGTTCCTTATTATTAGTCCTGTGGACAAAAAAAAAATCTAGAAAAGATATTGGGTGTGAGTTAAGTATGGAAGCTAAAAAATGAAATTCTTTTCAAGCTCCACTAATCCAACTTGGAACTAGAATTTTCAAGCTAGGATTCCACGTATGCTCTTGTTCGTACATAGATAGGAACTGAATATTTCTTTCTGAGTGAGTTGAGAAAGCTCTGCACCAGAATTAGCACCAGACTTTTAAAAGGGTTCAGAGGAAAGGTTGGCTCCAAAGCCAAGGTGAGTTGAAGAACATAGACTGGATTTTCTCAAAACTTTCAGGGCCTAGGGATGGAATTTTCAATTCTTTGAAGTGAAAGGCTATAAACTTTTTTTTTTCCCAAGAGTTTTATAGCAAACCTGTCACCTCTGCCTACATTTGTATGCACCTTTTTATGCATACGTACAGTAGTTTGTTTCTGGCTTTTTAGCCTGTGTTTCTTAAACAATGAAGCCAGCCTTTCAGAAGAAATGTTGAAATCCTGGCGAGAATATGGGAGACAAGATCAGGAAGACCATGCTATTATGGTCACTGTTAATTTTGGATCCTGTACTTAAAGTAGTACCATATAACTAGTGGGCACTGAGTATATACTATAGTCCCAATCTCATTATGACACAATTGCCTAATAACGATTTCTAGTCTTTGAGTGATAAACCACTTATTGGAAAAAACATTCATTCCCAAATAATGAAAAAACTTGGTATTTAACTTGCATCAGCACAAGCCTACTGAATAATCTCCATGGCCAATTCCTAGGTAATCATTAGATGGAACAGTTGGAAATGATCCAACAAAGAAGTGAAAAATTGCAATACTTCTATCCTTGTGATTTCCTATTCCTGGTCTTTCCTCCACTTGTTATCTTTTAGCAGTATTAAGATATTTCATACTTAACTTCTAAGGAGGGACAGGGTCAAAAGAGAGAATAGAATAAATAGGGGGCAGGATAGGATGAAGGAAAATATAGTTAGTTTCTCACAGCATGACTACTATGGAAGTGTTTTGCATGACTACACATGTATAACCTGTATCAAATTGCTTGCCTTCTCAGTGAGGGTGGGTGGGGAGGGAGAAAGGAAGAAAATTTGGAACCCAAAGTTTTAAAAACAAATGTTAAAAAAAAATTGTTTTCACATGCAACTGGGAAATAAGATATACAGGCAATGGAATATGGAAATCTATCCTGCCCTACAGGAAAATTGAAGGGGAAGGGGATGGGGGGGCAGAGATGAAAGGGAGGGCAGATTAGGGGAAGGGGTATGTAGAATGCATGCCATTTTGGGGTGGGAGGAGGGATAAGATGGGGAGAAAATTTGGAACTCAAAATATTGTGGAAGTGAATGTTGAAAACTAAAAATAAATAAATTTTTAAAAAAAGAGACATTTCTTGTTTACAAAGGAATTTATATATAAAAGAAGGGAATGGATATATCTGGCTTTATGCCTAGTTGTAACCTGATCAAATTGATCACCTTGACCTCCGCATTCTAGATCTTAAGGGGCTACCCCCAAAGCAGTTCTGTTCTCTGCTGCTCCTTTTACTTAGGGAGATTTTTTTTTTCTGTATATATTTCATCAGAATTCTGATCTTGCTTTTTTTTTCTTTTCCCCTTCAGATGAGTAAAGTTTGGAATGAATTGAAGCCCAAGTTAAGTTGCCTCTTTTCAGGACCCAATAACATGCCAACACCGCCACGATCACCACAGGAGGGCAATGTGTTTTCTCATTAGTTCCTGGAGAGGACTGCCTGGGTTTTAGGCAGTGCTAAGAGTACCCTTCCAGCCTTACTAAAACATATCACCAAACTGTATCATTGTGTATTTCCCTTAAAACAATAGCTGCCACTCTGGTGCTCACAGATGTTTGGACTGACTGAAACTTGAGCAGAAGACTCTGATTCAGTGGTAGGGGATGAGACTCAGATTTTAATTTCCTGTCTTGTCCTCTACTCATCTTCCTTCATTTCATAGTGCTCAGAGGCAAGATTGAGAGACACCTTACTGTAGGGTACTTTGGGGAGGAAAGAGAATGTGCTTAGATGCTAAGGGCTAAAGGGCCACTTGTGGTGGCTGGTAATTCCCTTTCTTCTTACTTACATCCACTTTTTCCTTCCACCACCATCTTCCTCAATATATACACTCTGGTTTCCCCTCTGGCAGTGAGAAGCAGTAGATCTCTGTACTCTATGAAAGGCAGTTCTCCTAGTCTCCAGGAAGGCTGGGAGATTAAGGATGACGTTCATGTTAGTGAAGTTGTCTGTCAGTGAATATGTTAGTCCCCTGATAACAGCTATTTAATCTTTTGGGGGGACAGATAAAATTAATCAGAATTCATTGGATTTCTTTGCCTTCTAGGAATCAGGATTAACTGAACAGATGAGTAAGGGTGAGAAAAGGTGAAGTTCACATATGTAGCAAGTTTATTTCAGTGCAGTCATGCCTTTTGGTTGAAATAATGTTAATTTTTTTTTTTTCAAAATGAGTTTTCAGTGAAAGGCCTAAAAAATAATTATTTAATGCTGTTGAACACTCCTTGAACAAATTGCCTTACACTAGGACTTTTCAGTTTCAGAGTGTGAGAGTGTGTGTGTGTGTGTGTGTGTGTGTGTACATGTGTATGTCTACAGAAGAGAACCATTTTGCTTATGGAGGGGGTTGTTAGCTGGTAGGTACAAACAGTATTAGTTTTCTGTGGGACAAGCTACAGTGTCTATTCCAGGCAGCTAGAGACAAACACTAGGAACCTTAGTATATTACGAGACTCATTGTGAATTTGGCAAGGCCTGCCATATTTCATTTTCCATTCCTCCACTTTTCCCCTTTTCTGTACTAATGGCATGATCTGTCATTTTGCACAAGAGTAGGACCAAAATGTTTGGCATATTAAAGTGAACTAATTGAAAAGTCTGTCATATGCTAAAAACTAATTCTCTAAAAAGATGCCACACTTTTATTTTGGTTGCTTATATTGGAGAGCGCAGAATATACCAAGTTGAGAAGGGTGTGGTGAAGATGAGATGAGGAAATCAGAGGATCATGATTTTTATTTCGGTTGTGTTTTAAAATATACTGGCCTTTACAAGAGAGAATCTGTGTTCTTTGGGAATTAAAGAAAAAATAAAACAACCAGCTAGTTTCCTGATGGCACAACTCCTGGTTGAGGTAGTGGAACATTCCTGCTAATTTCAGTCCTTTCCTTCCTTAGCCCAGCTCTTACTCAATGGGGTTTATTGTGTAACTCTTCAGCTCTGTTTTCCACCTTGTGATGATGTGGGAGAGTTCTCAGATATGCTCTGGTGGAGACCTGTAGGGATGGGTGGTGTCATTTCTTGCCTTAATATGCTACTATTCCAAATCCCTAGTGGAACATTTCTCTATGGGATTGAAAATAAACTGGACTTCTCCACATCAGGGACTTCTGGGTCTATTTAGACTTTGCTTTTCTCATTCTTATAAAGACAGAAAAATTGGAAAAGGCTCTAAATGGGCAGCATGCATTCTGAAAATATTGCCCATGTGGAGTATTTTTCAGGTTCCAAGGAGATTTCTCTGCTATTTCTCTGACCTTCTCTAGTTTTAAAATATGTAGCATGAAGGATTCTAGAATAAAAATAGAAGCCACCAAGTATTCTCGCTAGCTATGGGAGAAAGAATCAAAATAACCAAAAATACTTGATTTATGCAGATAAGCTAATTCATTTTTTTGGCACAGGCAAAATGAGGGCTTTTCTTTGTGGACTCAAATGGCTGCACAAGGGGTCTAGCCTCAAAGCATGTTGCTGTATTTGATTCATTCAAAGAGGATATGAGTGAAAGTGCAAGACTTGTAAGCTGTGTACTCCATGTGGCATGTCAGCACATTTTTCAGATGTTTGCTTTGCGTTCATGAAGTAGCTAGAGGCATAAGGGTCACTTGGTAGAAAACACTAATGGCACCTGGATCTGTAACTTACTGCCCTAAAGCTCACATCTTCCTTCCTTCTAGGAAAGCTGACCTTTGCTTGTATAAGTGAATGTGACATTTAAAACAGCATGTGATGGAAGACGGTCTGTTTCTACTGTTGAGCAGACTTATCCTCTGAAAAGAGAAGATGCACAGCTTTAGTTAGAGCCTAAAAATAGTCCCGAAGTTCTGTTTTGAGAGTTATTGGTCTGTAACTAAAGGTGGCAAAGAGAAAGGTGGAGTCTTCTTTGCCTTCAGGGTCTCTGCCTGCCTACCATCCATTCCCCTTTTACAGAAATAAAGTCTCTACCCACTTTGAATGGATCAATACACCTTTTTTTGTGCTGCTCCATTTTATACTGTGATTTGCCTAAGCCATATAACATAAAATTTATTTGTACAAACCCCCTGGGGCCTTTTCCTTCCTGCCTACACAGCTGCAAAGTGTGCTAAACACTCCTTCACTGCTATTACAATGAAGTCCCTTGGGACCCCAAAGTTGCATGTTATCCTGCTGGCCTAGGGCCTCCAGTCTTTGTAGAAAGCCTAGGAGAATATGCCACAGTCTAGGCCATGGTTAGAGTGCATACTGTAGAGAGATCCAGACCTGACCTCCTTGTCTTGGATGTTCTAAACATAATGAAAGACTGGAGTAGGGGGGTGGGGAGTGGGAGAAGTTTTCTCCTTTCAGTATTTGAGACCATTGCAGATGTAGTCAATATGTGCTTCCATGAAAAGTAGAAGCAAACGGCCAGAAGACCTGTGGCTCCTCAAGGGATAGCTGTCAAACGATATTAATTTAAGAACTTTCAGTTGGCATGCTGGCCAGAGTCATTAGCTAGAGGGAATTTAAGAGATGTGTTTTAAAAAAAAAATGTGTATGTGTGTGTGTGTATATATATATATGTATATATATACACACACACACATATATATATATACACATATATATATATCTCTAGAGAGAGATGTTATCCTAATTTAAAACACTCACTTGAAGGAAATGTACTACCAAAGAGTTTCTGAAAACTTGTTTTTTTCTCCTCTTCTGTACTAATTGTGATGCTTTAGGAGCTTGTAGTAAATCATGACAAAGGCATGAGTTAAATCAGATGTGTTAGGACATTATTTTCTCAGTATCTACCAACAGTATACTCCCTTTTGAGGAGCAACACTCTTTTGATACAAAGGACAAATGGATAAATGGACTTTTTTTCAAAACTAGTCCTTCACTTTTCAAACAGAAGCTTGCAGTCCATTCCAGCTGCCCCTTCTGAGAGCACCTCTGCTGCCCACTTACAGTGGAACTGACCATGGCAACAAGTAGAGCCCGACTTCTGCTTGTCTCCTACTAAGGAGATTCCAGTGTATCACGAGTTGAAAAAAAAATAATCCTCATACTTTACAATTAATGGGCTGTGTTTTATTTAAATGCGGACCTGTTCGTTTTTGGATTTTATGTTTTTTCTTAATGGATTCTTTAGGAACATTATAATTATAAACAGTGGTGGAGGCCTTTTGATGCATCTTTTGGTACTGTGCATCCTAATGGTATTCCCTTAGTTTTGGGGGACCATCCCAGGGTGACAGAATGAGAGAGAAACAGCCCTAACTGTAGAATAACAGATGTAGCTCAGGGAGCTTCCTCTTCAACATAATTTCTCAGTCCTGAGCCAAATATGATTGTGAGATGTTCCTGAGGAGCTGTTTGCTAGATCATCTGTAACTGGAGGAGCAGTGAAGATAACCCAGTTCCCAGGGAGTTGGTCTAGGGCTTGGGAATAGCTTTTGCAGGTTGAGGTCCATGCTCACACAGCTTAAAAGCTCTCCAGGTAGACTAGCTTCCCACTGTGTTCTTTAGAGGGACCAACCCCTTCAAAGGAAGGCCATTGGTATGCACAGTAGCCTAATGTCAGCATCTAAAAATCATCAGCTTCAGTGAAAAATGAGTCAGAGAACATTGTTCTGAATGTGGGACTATGCTTGTCATTCAAAAAAAGTGATTTCTATGACAGGCCTAGACCAACACTGAAACTTAATGGCATAAATAATTTTGGAAGCCTGTTAGTGCCCTTATTATCTTGGATTATATTTCAGAGCCTTTTGGGGTTGGAGATTTTTGATACAAATGGGGTATAGATGTGAAAATTTATATTAAATGGTCCTTAATGGTTCTTAAATCCCACCCATTCTTTAGGAGCTTTGGCTTATTCAGCAATACCTGGGAAAAACCCTTTAATTAACACTCTACTCATCTTAGGAAGCCTAATGTGAGGACTGAGTGGGAAGTTGGTTTGACTGAAATGAAGACCTTTTCTTAGTTGGGCCAATTTACCATTTCTTTTGCTTTGCTGTACTAGTTTTATGTATGAAGCACTTTATCAAATTGCAGGAATTAGTTATTACTACAGCTGATGAACTGGAAAATGTTTACAAATGATTACACTCCAAAACTTTTTATCAATAAAACATATATATGAACAAATGCTATTAAATGTTTTTGTAAGAGGTGTGTAAAAGGTTTAAGTTACTGTGTGTGGCTGACTTTCTCTGCTTATCTGCCTTTTGTAGAATCGTGTTGAGGCAGTGTGGGGTATTGGAAAGAGCACCAGGTTAGGATACAGACCCAAGTTCTTAGTGCTGGCTCTACCACCTGTGAACCCTATGATCTCAGGCAAGTCATTCAACCTCTGGAGCCTCAGTTTCTTCATGTAAAATAGAGGCACATCACAGGGTGACTTTTAGATCAAATAAGATGTTTGTGAAAATGATTTGTAAAATATAAAAAAGCTTTGTAAATGTGAGCTCATATTACTATTACTTTTATAATCTGGTAAGATACTACTGGAATTAAATGAGGGAAGATCACCATGTGAAGAAGCAGGGAGTTATTTTCTCCTTAAAGAATGAAAGGTTCTAACCAGCTCAGTGTATGAATTCAGAGGGATGATTTTGAAATAATCTCTCAATTTACTAAGGTCAGTAAGAATCCGGTCAGCATTTTGCAAATCACAAGGCATGTCATTATTTTCCATTATTTGTCAGAATCTTCAACAGGAAAGAAAAAGACTCGTGTTTCCAGAAAATCTGAAAACATTCCACTTTTCTTAGTGGCTGTTGCCCCCTAGTGTGGGCTGTTGCACACTCTACTGGGCTGCACTGTGAATCACCCCCACACTTGTCACTTCTCCCTTAGAACCAAAATGTATTTGTGATTCCTAGTCCCTATCAAGGGGAAGTGGGGGTCCTCATTATATGACATGTACAATTGCAAAAAATTTCTGGTTTTACAGTTTCCTCTTGCTCCCCAAACAAATACTGAGTATTAAATTGCCTTAAAAACTAAAGACAGTGAACCCCCTGCCTAAATTACACACAGCTGAAATAAGGCTGTACAACAGCCAGCTTCCCTAGCCCATATGGGCTCAAGTATATCATGTGTTAATGGCACTGATTTCTCTCTCTCTCTTCAGACAATTTCCACTTCATTCAGTGTGTAGTCTAGGATGGTGTCATGTCCTTGGAACTTGAAATATCCATGGAATTTTTTCTTTTGGAGCATTAGTGGAAACCAGTAGCCGTCATCTGGCCACATGTCACTGAAGGGAACCTGTTCCAACTGGAACCATTGGGGGCGCATTTCTGTAACAGTGGAAAGAACAAAAGGATTTGCTTATTTAAAAACATAACTTATCTTTACTCTTTTGAACAAATCCATCAACATTTCTGGCTCTTTAATCTTACACACAAGGGGTTCACTAATTGGGGCATCTGTGGTATAGGGGCAAGAGTGGTAAATTTGGTGTCAGATAGTCATGGTTCAAATAATCAGTCTGTGATTAACTGAAGGTTGACTAGATTTAAAGTCATTACCAGAAGTTCCACAGGGTCCTCCTAGAAACAAACATCAAAGGTCTGACCCTGAGCAGTGTACCCTTTGGGCTCTAAAATGAAGGAGTTTAATTAGACCATCTTTAGGATCACTTTCTGCCATACATCCTATAATCCTATCTCATTTTCATCACAATGGGGATATTGTGGAAATGCCCTGATCCCAATCCCCGGGAAACAAGGAAAGTTTTACCCAAGGCTTGGTTCCATTTGGAGATAGCTAGCTAAAGTAGCAAAGCTAAGGTAGGGCTGGCTGGAAAAATCAGCTAGTCAGAAATCAGTGTTGTAAATAGCAATTTGTCTTAACCCTAGTGACAGCTGACACTCATGCTTTCTGAATTAACTTTCCATGCTGAATTTGGATGGAAAGAGATGTAACTTGTCTGAAACTACCTACAACAGATACATACTGCTTACCATCACTTTCTTTTGGAGTTCCGTGAAAACTGTCCGCATAAAAGATGTGCATATCCATTAACTCGGTATTGCCTACAAATTCAAATGTGATTTTTCCTATCTTCTGCAGAGTGTCCACGGTCAGTCCACTCTCCTCCAGTAGCTCCCTGTTTTTACACAGAAAGGTAGACCATTGAACAAAGACTTCATTCTTAATGGTGAGGGGGTAAAGGGAGAAGACTAAGTATCTTGAGATAGTCTGAGGAACTTTGGGTTTCATACCTATTTCTTACCTCATCACTTTCTAGGTTCTAGTCCTTTTTTTAAAGATATATTTTTATTGATATCCTTTATCTAACCAAAGATTTCCTCTGTTCTTCCCTCCCCTCCTTGCCATTTCTTATAACAAAGAATTTTAAAAAGTCAGCAAAACTGATCTGTATATTGAAAAAAAGTCTAACATCATATGCAATGTTCTATCTTCCCCCAAGGATGCCCTGCAACCTCTGCAAAGGAGTTGGGCTGGTGGGGGCGGGGTTATCTCCTCCTGTTTTTTCTTTGGGGCCTAGATTGTTTTTTGTAATTTTGCAACATTTTTTACTGTTTGGTGGTGGTGGTTCTTTCTGTTTATGATGTTGTATCTGGTTTCATGACTGCCCAGTTCCTTTTCTTCAACAGCATCTTGTCCAGATAGTTCTTACTAAGGCCCTGCATTGTTTGGAGGATCTTGGAATAAAATGAATTAATTAGCTCCCAGACCTGTGTTGTTTCCAGAAGGAGCTGTTTGACTTCTAGTAATGACTTCAAGTATGGGCAACTTTTGATTTTCCATGTACTAATTATCTGCAACAAAATTTTAATTCCGGCCTCCAGCAGCACAGTGTACTCCCAGGACATTTCCATAACTATCCAAACAATGTGTGCTTGGGGGATGAAATTTAATTTTACTATTACCCGAAGCACAACAGAATGAGGATGGCAAATCTTATGTTGCTACTTACTGTATCTTGGGGAAAACCTAGATAATGTACAACTAAGTCAGAAATGAGATTTCGGAATCAGCCACTGTTTGGGGTTATCTAAACCACTGCTTGTTTTCATTAGGGTAGATCATTGAGAGTTCACTGTATAAAGGCCTTGGATGAGCCAGATAGATTGCATTCAATTAGCTATGTATGTTTTAACAATGAGCCTGTGTGTCGAGGGAATTTAAGTCTGCCCAGAACAAAGGAGTACATGTTAGAAATCTTACATTATCTAATCCTGCCACCAACTTTCTGACCTATAGCAACTGAATTTTATTAAGTTCCCACACTTAGGAAACTAAGCCAGGAAACTAACTACATGAATACTTTTTCTTGTATTTTGGTTTCCACAAAAAACATACTAAATTAAGTCTGGCCACTTTTATGCTATTTTACTTCATTCTTTTATCTCCATTCTCAAAGGTAAAATAGACACACAAAGTATAATTACTTTCCTTGCTTATAACTGTTAGGATTCCAGTAACAAGCAGTAAGGGAAGCTTTGTTAATTTAAAAAATCATTAGGTTAAATTGTTTTATTTAGACTAATGTATTCTTCAGTTTGCAATACTGTCAAGGCTAGGAAATGAAATTCTCATCTGCTGTCTTAACTCTGCTATCTCAGATGTGCAAACATAACAGATCTCTTAAAGGTGGAATCTGTTCGCTTGAGACGGTTAATTAAAATTAGACTTGACCTAAAAAGGAATTGTGTGTATTTTCTTTTTGAGGGTAAATGGCTCCCCAATTAAGTGTAATGGGAACTCTCAGCAGGGGCTCTAGCCTCTCTGTAGCAGCAGGGTAGTCGATCTCATTTTTAAAAAATTACATGCTGATTTAATGTTTTGACTAATTTTAGTTAATCTTCCCAGAGTATGTGGCAGTATTTGAATTATCAATAATTTCCTCTTTGGCAAAGCTAAAAGCTCTATTTCATGGGCTGTGATAATTAGACAGATGAGAGTGACACTATTCTAGTTTTCGAAAGAATTTGATTGTGTGGCTGTGCCATTCAGTTCCCTAGATAGCAAAAAGAGAAACTAATGGATAATAAATTAAACAGAAATACTGAGCTGATGTGCTTTTGTTAACATGAGGAAATGGAAAGGTGGATGTTCCATAATCCTGAACACTGCACCATGGCCTGATCAGACACGCAGTTTTGCTTCTTGCACCTCAGGGGAATGTTCATTATTCCATCTGAGTTACTTACTTGACACTAAGATTTGTTAACTTTGTTTTTGTGTGTTCCTGACAGTTCATGCTAGACCGCTGGACCTGGAATCAGGAAGACCTGGGTTCTCAATTTGTATCTGAAGCATATCAGACACAAATTGCACCTGACATTTATTAGCTATGGGGCCATAGGCAAGTCATTTGAACTCATTTGAGTTCAAACATTTGAGTGTCAGTTTCCTCATCTGTAAAATGGGGGTAAATTATACCTGAAGTACTTACCTCATATACTATTGTGAAACTTGTGATAATGTGTATAAACAGCTTTATCACCTTTGAAATGCCATTTAAATGTGGTCTTATACTTTCCATGTCAGAAATTAATAAAGTGAGACATATATACAGAAGAACTAAAATCAGTTAGTGTTATTTAGGAAGGTCCACTGCAGAGCTGAGGAGCATTAAGCCTTTGTTTATTGTCTGATTTCCAACCAATCCACCATTCCTGACCTGGCTGTATCTCAAACAAAGCCAATCAGGTGAGAGAGTGGGCCAAACCACTGAATCACTACAATACTGACTATCACTGAGATTATAAGGTTACCTCTGAAATCAGGGTACATAGGTAGAAGAAAACTTTTTTTTTTTTTTAGAAGAAAACTTTTTATGTAGGTACCACAGATCCTGACAGCCTTGACTTAAGAAATGTTGCCAGTGCAGCAGAATCAAATGCTGTTTCAAGCCCAGTGGGCAATGTCTACCCTATGGCGCTTACTTAAATTTAGATTTTTACTTAAGGACTAAGTGTGAAATTCCCCTTCAGACTACAAAATAGCACCATAGTCTGACAGAATAAATTATGCAGGCCCAAAAAAAAGGAGGGGAACTTTAGCTGTCTTTCTCCCGCTTCTAAACACAGTAAGGAGCCAGCCTAGACCAAAAAAAAGCACATGTACAAAGGTACAGCACCAACTAATTAGATCCAGCAGTAGGGAAGATTCCCTCCAGGGTGAGCTTTTGGCTGCAAACTGCAACAAGGATTATCTGGCATTATGAGGTCTGATAAACTGGCTGGTGGGATCTGTACAGAGGAAGTAGTCTTCTCTGAAGAGTCTAATGTAGCTATGGGAAGGAGAAACTGAGGTAAAGATGTAGGGTTTTGAGGACATGAGTCTGTGAGCATTTCTGTATCATAAAACAGATGCTCAATTTAATAAATTATTCATATCATGTTTATGAAGTATATTGAAGTACTTGGCTAGAAGTCTCTAAAATGGAAAATAATATTAACCTTTATGGCAATAATTGAGGCATTTATGGTAAACTTGTCTAGAAGATTATCTAATTAAGTATATACCTTTGAACAAAAAAATAATTACCTTCAAGTGATCCATTGAGATTAGTAATAGATAGTTGTGGGCTCTCTTTGCAATGGGCTTGTGGTATAAAACTCAGGAAGTTAATTTCCCTTATTGTGCCTCAGTTTCCTTATTTCTAACAAAAAGTGTTTATGGGCAATAGTAATAGAACTATACTTATATCTGGAGAGGAAAAAGCTTTAATAAAAGTTCCAGGAAAAAAGCCTCAAAACTACCAAACTGAAAGTGCATGCTGATTATTATAAATTCTTGACTATTCATGGATTTTTTTTTTTACTCATTTTGTGACTTGTGTAGATTCCTGCCTTGTCCAGATCATTTGCTTCTCCTCTTTTATTGCTAGAAGGGGGAGAGCAAGAAAAGGAGGGGAACTTAAACCAGCCAATCCAGCTACATATGAAGGGTTTCATAGAGAAGTTCGACTATTTTGTTTTATCTCTGGTCTTTATCCTGTTTTCTGGTGTCCAAGAAAGAGATGTTAATGCTGTACTTGGATTACAGACACAAGTCTACAAGAGACAACTTTAATTTATCCTTATTATCTAAGCCACTTCTATCTTAGAGCTGTCCAAAATGACATCGTTGCTTTATTCCTCCCAACATGTTTCAAGATTCCAGTATGATTTGAGATAACATTTTATAAGGAATCTTGAGCAAGGAAAAGATTATTACAGGTAAAAATACAGTATGGATTTAACATTTCAGAATAGCAACTACTCAATTCCTTCTTGGACAGTTCCTCTTATGAATTAAAAAGGGCTTCCTCTCTGGAATCAAATTCTTACCCTGGAAAGCAGAAGTAGGCCCTGCTGTTAAGTAAGTCTTGGTGCCAGTCACTTCAGGTGTGTGGGGTAGCAACAATCTTATTTAGACAAGAGTTAGATTTAGTTTCTATCATTGATCTGTCTGTTTCCCTAAGAAAAGCCTTAGCTTTTGATCTACCCACCTTCCAAAATATGTTTTCATTCTGGCCTCCATTAGTGTGAATAACTGAAATTTAGAGATTATCGTTTTTGGATTTTCTCCAGGCTCGGTCCTGAAGATCTTTCCAAAATACTACAGAACTGAAAATCATATGCCAGTGACTGCTTCATCCTTGGCCTTCTCCCTTTTTCTTAGAATCTTATAGAGTTCAACTACTATATATTGAGGATCAACTGAGATAGATTAAGCGTTTTGTAAATCTTAAAGTGCTACAGAAATGCTAGCTATTATTACTATATTACCTTATATTGGGGCATTTGCAAAGGGTTACAATGCCTTTTGTTGTCCTGATTACATAAAACAAATGACTTTTCCAGGCCTTTCAGGCATAGCCCATTCTTGGAAAGGCTGCTGTCCTAGAACTTGCTGGCATATGTCTTATTTTGTTTATCAGGACCAGAACAAACCATGAGATACGAGGGTGGCAATGAAACCCACTGAGCATGTCTTCTGAATGTCCTATTCTGTTAGTTTGTATACCATCAAGTCAAATCAATCACAAGATATCGTGAGATTGTTAGATCGTCTCTGTTCCTTGAAACTGCTGCCTGGACTAATGCGGTATTTAGGAATTTGTTTTTCTCCTCATCTGGAAGTGGCCTTTTCGTTACGGCTTTATTTTCTCAGAATTAAAACCAAATTTTTCCTATTCTGAAGAGCCCTCTATACTATCACCAGGCTGAAGTCCATTCCACTCACCTCTTGGCTCCTTCTTCAATAGTCTCTCCATCTTCCACTTTCCCCCCAAAGCCGTTCCACCTCCCAGCTCCAAAGCCACGTTTTTTCATTCCTAAAAGAATTTGCTGAGGTTTCAGAACTAAAACTAAGGTATAAATCCTAGAAGTGAACATGTTTATCTTTCTGTGGAAAAAGAAAAGGAAGTGAGTAAGAATTGGGACCTACTATTCTTGTGGGAAATGTTAAGGCAAGAGGGAGTAGGGAATGGAATAATGAATTATATGAATAAATGTTAACAGTCATCTAGTCCATCTGGCATTAACTGGACGAACAGTGTGGTGTAATGGAAAAGCCACTGAACTAAATGTTAGAAGACCTGGGTTCAAATTCCATCTCAGCATTATGAGGAAAGCTCTATAGCTATAACTATTATTTGTATTATTGGTGCATTGTAGAAATAATGCTAATTAGCTCATTAGTGCCCAGAATGAATATGTAGGCAATTCAGTCTTAATTTATACCAAAATAATGGTAATCTGAAAATATTCTACAAGACAGGATTTTGTTTTGTATTGAACAAGGCTATTTAAATGAATGAATAGCATCTACTAAATGCCTACTATGTGCCAGACATTAAGGATATAAATATGAAAATGAGAAAATCCTTGCCTTCAAGGAGCTTACTTCTAATAGGGCAATAATATAACATTCACATGGGAGAGATGGCCAGTGAAGGGCATTTAGACCGTCACAAGAATTGTGAGTAGAGCAGTAGCTCCCTGAGCTATTTATCTAGTCCTAGTCTCACTTCTAAGCTCCATTCTCACATTACCAACTGCTTATTATACATTTTATACTGCATGTCCATAGCAACCTCAAACTCAGTGGGCAAAGCATAACTCACTACACCCCCCTCCCCAACCCACCAAACCACCTAATTTACCTTCCTAATGTTGTTTCTGCTGAAGGTACCACCATCCTTCCACTCCCCCAGCTTCTGAATCTCAGAGCCAGCCTCAGTTCCTCATTCTCCCACATATTTAATTAGGTGCAAAGTCTTGTTGATTCTGTCTCTATAACATCTCTTATATCTCTCTTACATGGCCACCACCCTGGTTCAGGCCCTCAACACCACTTTCCTGGACTACTGAAATACACCCCTACTTGGTCTCCTTGTCTCAAGATTCTTCCTAATCTATCCTTAAAGTCTAATAAACAAACATTAAGTGCCCACTATGTGCCAGGTACTGTGCTAAGTGCTGGTGATACAAAGACAAAAAACTGTCCCTGCTTTCAAGGAGCTCACAGTTCAGTGAGGAGATAACATGAGAAGAACTATGTATAAGCATACACACACATGCATATATATATATATATATATACACACACACACATATATATGTGCTAAATTTTTGATAATCTTGGAGGAAAGGCACTAGCATTAAGGGGGATAGTAGGGGAAAGTTTCTTGTAGAAGCTGGGATTTTAGCTAGGACTTGAAAGAAGTCAGGAGACATGAAGAGGGAGAGAATTCCAGGTAGGGGGCACAGCCAGTGAAAATTGAGAGGGCATTGGGAGATGACAAAAAAAACAGCACCTGCTAATGTCAGGCACTGAGATGACAAATCTTATCTCACCTGATCCTTACAACACTGCTATTATTCCCATTTTACAGATGAGGAAACTGAGGCAAAGAGGTTAAATGACTTGCCCAGGGTCACATAACTAGCAAGTATCTAGGCCAGATTTGCAGGTTTTCCTGACTCCAGTCCCAGTATTCTATTCACGGTGCTACCTAAGTGCTCTAAAGATGGAGTGTCTTATTCTAGGGACAGCAAGTCACTGGATCTTAGATTATGTGTAGTGGAATAAGACCTAAGAAGACTTGAAAGGTTAGAAGGGACCAAGTTATGAGGGGCTTTAAAAGCCAAAGGATTTTATATTTGATCCTGGAGGTAATAGGGAGCCACTGGAAGTGCCTATATAGGAGTGTGACAAGGCTTATCCTTTAGGGATATCAATTTGACAGCTGAGTGGAGGATGGAGATAGGAAAGGCTTGAGGCAGGGAGACCAATCAGGCAATTGCAATAGTCCAGGCCTGAGGTGATGAGGGTCTGTACCAGAGTGGTGGCAATAACAGATCAAAGAAGGGTGCACAGAGATATTACTAAGGTAAAATAGCCAGGATTTGGTAACTGATTAGAATAGGAGAGGAAAGGGTATGTGATATTACTAAACTACAGGTTCGACCATGTCACTTCCAAAGAAATTCCTCTTACCAACAGGATCAAATACAGAGTTCTGTTTGTCATTTATAGTCCTTTACAGTGTTACTGCAATCTACTTTTTCAGCTTATGAATTAATCCCTTTCACAAATTTTACATCCCAAACTTGGCTTCTTGACATTTCTCATCCATGACATTCCATCCCCCCTCCGTACTTTGGCAGAGGCTCTCTCCATCCCACCCCATCCCCCAACTCCCATTCCTGGAATGCCACCCTCGTTACCTCAAACTCTTGGTTGTCAAACCTCAGTTTGGTACCTCCTACATGATGCCTTTTCCCATCCCTTTTAAACTGGTGGTACTTTGGTGGTACAAATTACTTTGTATATATTTATATCTGTAAATTAGCTCCCCTGTTATAATGTAACCTCCTGGAGGGTAAAGTCTTTGAAACTTTCATTTCTGTAATTAATGTATCCTGAGTCTAGCTGTGATTGTATGACTACTCTCAGAACAAAAGTAAGGAGGCAAATGGGAAAGGGACTTATCACAAGGCAGTGAGGCCCTTGGCAAGATACTCATATTGAGCAGGCCAGAGTGTCTCAGGAGATTGCTAGATGCGATGGGATTTTCATTATTTCAATAATTTTCATCAATGTCTAACCATATATGCCAAGCTTATTCTGGGCATAGCTCTTTGGGTGGGTTATGTAAGCCAATTTTAGGTTATAATCTGTGTACTATTTTGAAAATACCTAAGATTTAGGATTTAGTTAAGATAGCTAAAGCTGCTTTTATCCTCAGGCCTTCCCTACCTACATCTTTTCCCCCAACAATAGTGTTTTGAGAGAGGCTAAGAAATTTTGTTAGCCTTTTCTATGTATAGTTTTATGTAATGATAAAGTATGGAGCAGTGAAAAGAAGGAAATATCAATGTGTTATGCCCTTGGTAAAACTGCAGAAAATGAAAGTTACCTTGAAAAATGTTATCTAATATTCTTCTGAAGATGGAGAATTTTACTGCTCACATTACCCCACCCCATAAGCCATTGTAGGCTGATATGGTCAATCCCATGAGCCTCTTGACTTGGGGGAGGTGGAGGAGTACCAATCACTCAAGTTTAAAAATCCTAGACTTCTGGACCAGGAATAAACTTTGGAACTCATTTAACTCAACCCCACTCACTTTGCAGATGAGAAAACTGAGGTCCAGAGATGTTTAAATGTTCAACCCAGTCGGTGACAGAGCTGGGACTAGAGCTGACTCCTAATCCCATACTTTTCTGACATTGGAACCTTAAAGCCTGGATAAGTGCTTACACCTAGCAGATGCCTACTAAATTACTTGATATTGGGGAAGAGAAGGACCAGGAAGGTCTTGGTCTTCAGAGGGGAGTGGAGGGAGGTGAAGGATGGTGGCACTTGGGTCTGGGGAGAAGGTGGTGGGAGTGTCTAGAGAGGAGTGGAATGTCAGAAGGAGGGTGGGGTAGATAGACTAGACTAGGCTTGTAATGGGTGAATCAGGAAGCAGGAACCAGAGAGTGAAAAAGGCAGTGGAGAGGGCAGGGTCAGGTCCTGGGGTCTCAGAGGAAGGGGCATCAAGGCAGAGATGTGTGTGTGTGGGGGGTCTCCAAAGCGGGGGTGGGCGGGCGAGTTGGGGAGAAAGGCATCAGGAGGAGACAAGGGGCTGAAAGGGGAAGAGAAGAGGAGGTCAGGACTTGGGGTTTCTGTCTCAGTGAGGGGCTTCACGACTGAGGGGTATTGGGGTCTTCAGAGGAGGGAAGGCTTCATCAGAGAGTGAGGGTTAGTCTGGAGAGAAGAAGGTAAGGAGGGAGGGGTCGGGATCTGTGAGGAAGGCTAGAAGTGTTTTGGGGGTTTTTTTTGGGGGGGGTCAGGACCCGGGTCTCAGGAGAAAGGAAGGATTGAGAAGGGATCGAAGTCCCATGGGGAGAGACGGGGAGTCTGGTCGAAATCTCCAGGCAGGGAAGGGTAGATGTTGGGGTCAAGGCTGAGGGCAGGGTCCGAGGGGCTCAGGACCCGGGGCTGTGGTCTCCGGAGAGGAGGTTTAGGCCTCAGGGGTCGCATTTTCCAAGGGGGGAGAGGAGAATGGGTTTTACAGCAGGGGAATGTTGGGGTTCAGAGCGAGGGGACCGAGGGGCTCAGGGCCTGGGGTCGCGGTCTCGGAAAAGAGGAGGGGGAGGAGAAAGAAGGAAGGCTTCAGGACTAGGGTGGGCAGAGAAGGAAGGACCGGTTCCCGGGGAAAGCGAGCGGCCAGCCTGACCGGGCACCCCGCCGTCCGTACCTGAATCCCGGCTTCCGAACATGCTCCTCCGAAAGACGTCCGGCCGGGAAACACGTCCTCCCCACGTGCTGGCCGGGGAAGCGCCGGCTCCCTCTCCAGCCCACGACCCCAATCAGAGCCGGAACTGTGTGTTCCGAAGGAGTAGTTTCTGTTGGCGAGAGGGGAGCGCGGACCGCAGAGCACCGGTAACGTGGTGGCGGCAAGGTGGCTGCATGGCTGGGTGAGCGCTAGCGCCTCTTCTTCCGCCCTTGGACGCCGAGGCACCCCGCAGCGAAGGACGCTTGGGGACAAGGGGCGAGGGGGTGGGAACGCCCTGGGATTCAGACCTTTGGGTTCCCACGTCCCAGGGCGTCCCTCTGAGCCGGAAGGAACCGGGGCCACTGTCGTCATCTTGGCGTTTAACCCTCTCATTTTATAGATGGGGAAACTGAGGCCCCGCTCAGAGGTCACACTCAGGGTATCTAATTCTTCAAATGTTTCTCTAATGGTTATGTTAGCAAATAAAGGCTGCTAGAGGCAGGTAGCTGGTGCTCTGGAGAGATCGCTGGCGTGGAGTTAGACCCTGAGTTCAAATGTGGCCTCAGTTACTTATTAGCAGTGAGCCTGGGTAAGTCACTTAACCTCGATCTGCCTCAGTTTCCTTATCTGTAAAACTGGGCAATTAGGTGGCGCAGTGGATAGAGTGAGTGCTTGGCCTGCAATTAGGAAGACCTGAGTTCAAATGTGGCTCAGATACTTACTAGCTGTGTGACCCTGGGCAAGTCACTTAACCTTGTTTTCATTCGTTTTCTTATCTATAAAGTGAGCTGGAGAAGGAGATAGCAAACCACTCCAATATCTTTGCCACGAAAACCCCCAAAGGGGTCACAAAGAGTCAGACGTGACTGAAAACGACTAAACAACAAAATTAGGAAGGATAGCTTCTACTTTCCAGGGTTGTCGTGAGGATAAAATGAAATAATTGTAAAGTGCTTTGCAACAATTTAATGCTTTGCTGGCGTTAAAATATCCATGTGTCCATCTCTATTTATCTAATTATATATTATTGTTTTATGTATTATATATCATTTTATATATCATACAATGTCATTTGTATAAATTATTGTATATAAAAATACACATTAGAAGAATATGCTATTATATATTAATAGAATATATAACAATGGTATAATGGCAATATAATTGCATGATAACATCATCATATCATTTACCTAGTGTCATTTATATAATAGCATACATTATTTATTACACACAATACATACAAGAATATATTAAAAGAATATATGATGATACATGACACATGATAATATAATACGTATGTATATATAAATCTATATCATAGCACTTTAAGGCTTGTAAAGCACTTTACAATTTGATATAATTGTTTATATATTATATTCATATGTAGTTATTGCAGCTCTTAGTAAATATTAAAAACTGGGTTTTTTTGGCTTTTTTTTTTTTTTTAAGCAAAAAATAGCCTCAGAGTGAGAATCAGCAACATTTCATTTGAGGTCTTTTGCTAACATTCACAAGTTTTGTCAGCAGAAAACACTTAACTAAATTGCGATTTCAAATTTACATTGATGATTCATGATTTCTGTAAATTGCGACAGCTGCTTGATAGACATAAAATTTCCTTAAAATTCACTTTTTTAGAGTAGGATTTAATGACTTCATAGGATTATAATGGAGGCACAATGTTATAGAGGATAGAAAGTCAGCTTTGCAGTCAAGAAGACGTGTCTCTGTCATACTTGCTGTTTGATTATAGGCAAATTATGTAAAAGAACTGGGTTAGACAGGGGGATTCAGGGGTAAGACCAGCAACACACAGTGAGAGACCTGCCTTGGTGAAAGGGGCTTCCTATATAATTAAATTACAGGTCTAGTAAAAAAAAAAAATTAAAACTTCCCGTGAACCAGGGTCTGAGGGAATGAATAAACAAATAAGTATTTATTAAGTGCTTACTATGTTCAAAGCACTGTGCTAAGTTGGGGATACAGACAGAAAAACAGAAGCAGTCCCTGCTTTCAAGGAGCTCTCATTCTAATGGCAGAGACAACACATATAGGAGGTTTCAGCTGCAAATCAGATGGAAAAATCCCATAGTCTTTAGGGTATAGCCCTAGGCAAATGGTAATTTCTCCTTTTAATGTCATTTTCATGGATAAAATGATATTTTTTTTTAGCTTTTATTTAGTACTTTATTTTCCCTAGTTACATGTAAAAACAATTTTTAATATTCATTTTTAAAACTTTGAGTTCTAAATTCTCTCCCTCCTTCCTACCCCCCATTGAGAGGCAAGCAATTAGATATAGGTTATGCATGTGTAGTTATGCAAAACAAAAATGATATCTCTTAATGATGTTGAACCATTTAACAGTGCCAAGGACTTGAGAGTCAAGAACTTTTCTTTTCCAGGTCTTCAGGGGTTGTGGCTGCTGAGGAATCAGGGGCTGTAGTGCCTAGCCATTGGTGGCTATTGGTCAGTGGTTGATAGGTATTGCTGGGCTAAGACCAGTCAGTCAACCCGCTTTCAAGCCTTCTTTTCTGCTTTTTTTTTTTTTTAAACATATCAAGCAAGCAAAAAGCTGTGACCAACTTATATGTAAAGGGATATCAGAAGAAAGCAAATAAGATGGAAGCACATTGGGTAGAATTTATGAGACAACGTGCACAAGAGTTGCAGAAGATAGATAGGCATGGATGGGTTGCAACCTGCAATCAGTAAAATGTAAATTCCTTGTGAGCAGAGATTGTTTAATTTTTTGGCATTTGTATTCACAGACCTGAGCACAGTGCCTGACACATAATGGGCACTCAATAAATGCATGTTGACTGATGGAAAAAATACCCCAAATCTTAAAAAAAAAATGTCCTTTAAACTTTTAAGAGTTAGATAACCCAGTGGCAGCTAGGTGGCGCAGTGGATAGAGCACTGGCCCTGAAGTCTTCAGCACCTGAGTTCACATGGGGCATCAGACACTTACTGTGTGACCCCCTCTGATTGCCTCTCAAAAATAAATAAACAAATAATGAAAATTAATCTGGAGCACAGTATTTTATTAAAAAGGTATTTATTTTGTTGAGGCAATCAGGGTTAAGTGACATGGTAGATAACTCATCAAAAAAATCTGTTATTTTTGTATCATTATTATTTCATTTAGACAGGCTACCACCAGAATGATACCTTACTCTTCTTGGTATCTCTATGTCATCTAGTGAAAGTCTCAGTACATTAGAGGTACTTAGTAACTATTTCTTGAATGAAGGAGTAATTTTCTGTTGATAACAGTCACTAGACTTGGAGTCAGAGGACCTGGGTTTGAGGCCTGCCCTGCCACTTAGTAACCTTGTGTTTTGGGACCAGTCTTATGTTTTCTTTAAGTCTCAGTTTCTTCATGTTTAAATTGAGATTATTATTGGTGCTTCTTCAAGGGGTTGTAGAGGAAAGTTCTTTGTAAATAGAAAAGCAAGGTATATAAATAAAGTCAGTAATCACAATGAACCTTGAAAATGTGATGTTAGTACCTGGAAATATTAAAAAAATATATATTAGTATTTAGAAAGTAGATTTTCTTTGTAAGGAAACTGAAAAATAGTAGATGTCTTCTCTCTTGTAAAAACAAGAGGTTCTCTGCTTGTTTCTTTTTATAAAACAGGTACCAGAAGTCAGCTTGTGTCTTCCTTCAGTGTCCAAGGTTTCACACTACTATAAGCAGGCACAAAGGCAAAACAGCTACAGAACATCTCTGGCTGATGAGGCACTTTAAGGACCCATTTGTCAAAGCTGCAAAAGTAGAAAATTACCGTTGCCGAAGTGCTTTCAAACTTTTGGAGATACATGAGAAGCACCAAATTTTTCATCCTGGGCTTCGTGTATTAGACTGTGGTGCTGCCCCTGGTGCATGGAGTCAAGTAGCTGTCCAGAAAGTCAACGCTGCAGGCACAGGTGAGTGTCTGTTTAATTGACATAGTTTGTTAAGGTTTCTTGGATGAAGGTGGTGATAGTCCCACTGTACTGTCCTGGTCAAACTACATCTGGAGTATTGTATTTATTATTGGGTAATACATTTTAGGAAGTATGTTGATAAACTGGAGAGTTTTCAGAAAAGAGCAACTATAATGAAGAACCTGAAATTCATGCCTTATGAGGATCATTTGAAGAAACTGGAGATATTTAGCTTTGGAAAAAATGAGACTTGTTGGAAGGGTGGCAGTGGTGGATATTGATAGCTGTCTCCAAATATCTGGAAGGCTGTTAAGGGACAAGAGATTAAACGTGTTTTGCTTGACTTCAGAGGAAGAACTAGGCACAATGGGTGTAAATTGCAAAGAGAGATTCAGGCTTGATTTAGGGAAAAATATCTCAACAATTACTACTTTCCAAAAGTGAAACAGGCTACTTTGGGAGGTAGTGGTTTCCCTCTTAATGGAGGTCTTCAGCCAAAGGCTGTGTGACCACTTATTGGATGCAGTATAGAGAATATTCTCGTTCAGGCCAAGGTTGGACTATATGACCTCTCTCTGAGGACCCTTCCAACCCCTAGGACCCATGATTATGATCCATTTGAATATATTTCTAATGTACATATACTCTAACCAACTGAATTAGGAGACCCAGTTTAAGTACAGGGAAATAACAGAGGTCAATGACTCCGGCTTAAATGAAGGTAGGGAAACTAGAGTATGCATATTCGTTGGTGCTGGGAAGGGTCATATGGATGGGAACAGAAAGGAATTTGCACATAAAATATTTTGTGAGATGAAGCAATTGAATTTGCAAGAAATCAAAGATTATCATTGTAATTTGTACTTGTAATACTTGAAGGGTCTGTGATTTCATTGTTATTTTCTCCACAATTCAAATTGTTACCTTTATTAGATAGTTTTAATGGATTCCTTTGACTGAATTTGTTGGCACATGAGATGGATTTATTGATCTAATTCAGAGCTATTTTAAATTAGTATATGCTTGATGTATTCAGCTTATCAAAAAGTTCACTTATAAAAAGTAAAAAGGAAAAGTATTTTGCCTTGATGATATTTGTTAATCATTTGTGTATTTTCTAGATCCCAACTCCCCTGTTGGTTTTGTCCTTGGGGTAGATCTCCTTCATATATTTCCACTGGAGGGAGCAATCTTCCTCTGTTCTACTGATGTAACTGACTCAGCGACCATCAAGAAAATTCAAGAGCAGCTTCCTGGCCAGAAAGCTGATGTGATTTTGAGTGATATGGCACCCAATGCAACTGGATTTCGGGAACTTGATCACCAAAAGCTCATAAACATGTGCCTATCTCTTCTGAACTTTACTTCAAGTATATTACATCCAGGAGGGACATTCCTCTGTAAATTTTGGGATGGAGGTCAACGACACCTCTTACAAAATAGGCTAGAAAAAGAATTCAAGAATGTGAGGACTATAAAACCTGTAGCTAGCAGGAAAGAATCATCAGAGACTTACTTTTTGGCAAAATTATACCGAGGAATCAAAACACCTTTGAAAGAGTAGAAGTTATACCTGTTTTTACCAATAGGGTTATTGAGGCCTATATTAATTAGAAGTTTGAATCAGACCTTGGACTACACTTGCTGTGTAAATATAATGTAACATGTAAATGAAATATAAGTACTAAACAAAGAATAGGGAAACATTTTATTCTGTTGGGTCATATACAGAATTTAGAGCTGGAAGGGCCATTAGAGATTATATAGCTCAACTTCCACTTCTCATTTTATAGATGGGAAAATTGAAGCCCAAGACGTTTAGTGACTTCTTCGAGGTAAGTAGGAGAGCCACAATTTGAACCCAGTCTTCTGACTTTCCCGTCTCTGCCGTTCCCATTCTTCCCCAACATTTATTTTTTTCTTTAACTGAAAAACAAAGCACCACTCTTCTTTTATATCTGAGTGTTTATGAATTCAGGCATGGAGGTGAGTCCCTGGTATTGAGGCCATCCTTTAATAAATATATGTTCTGCTTTATGTATCTGCATTCACGTAATGGCACTAAAATGTGATATTAAAGCAATTTCTAAAAAAGACAGTAATGCATCATTTCCCTAAGCTTATTCTAGAATTCTATATAAGTTTAATAAAAAGAATCTTGATGTTATTATTTTAAGGACTTTTCTCCATTAAAATTTTTAAAAAAATAAGCTATTTCCTCAAATCAATTTTATGATGATATGTTCATCCTTCATGAAGAACTTAGTAATGGGATGACTATATATTGGAACCTCAGAACATGGTGGTATCTCCTTTCCTCACAGACTTTAGACATAAGGCTTGGGCCAGGGGAAGACCTTTTGAAATCATTTTGCATTCTGTCAAACAGTTCCATGATGAGGGAATTTTGGATTTATGGATGTTAGTTTTATTAGTTTTTCAAGATCAGCCACTGTACTCTCTCAAGTCTCCAACCATACAGTTTTTAGATGGCTTCATCTCAATTCAAACACTTAGGTACCTGTTATGTGCAAGGTGTTGTACTAGATTCTGAAGATATAAAAATAGAAACTAAACAACGTCTACCCTCAGTGAGCTTAAATCCTACTTGGAGGGGATATGATTTAGCACTTGTGGAATTTTAGAGCTCATTACGTATGTAATCTCATTTGATCAATCAATCAACAAGCATTTAGTGTGTGCCTGGCACCCTGATATACACTGTGCATACAAATTCGAAGAATAAAACAGTAACTTCTCTCTAGGAGTTTACGATCTAGTGGGGGAGATAATGAGTATATGTATAAATATATTCAGAATAAATGTAAAGGTAATGAGTGGTAAAATGACTTGCCCATTAAGCTAGTGTCATTTGGGGTTTGAACCCTTGTATTCCTAATTCCAGGTCCACCGCTAGCCTACTTCTACCATATTGCAGAAAGAGCAATGAACTTGTAGCCAGAGGGTATGGGTTCAAATCCCAACCATGGCACTTAGTACCTGTATGAACCAAGTAAGGTAGCTCCTTGGGCCTCTGATAACCTCATCTGTACAATGAGACGATTGGACTGGAAGGCCCCTATGATCTCTTCCAGTTCCAAATATATGATCTTATGATTCTTTGTATAAAGTTAAGTATGGGCAGAGCTTCATAAAGATGAGATCATCTGGAGAACAACAGTAACAACTTTGGGATCAGGAAGGTGTTAAGTAAGAGGTTGTGGCCAAGCTGAGCTTTGAAGGGAGCTAAGGGTTTTGAGAGGCCGAAGTGATGGAAGTGTATTTTAAACATAGGGATAGTTAGCCTTCAGAAAGGCAGGTCAGATGAAATGTAGAATGTATGAAGTTGAGTAATAAGTCTGGAAAGGGAGATTAAAGGTAGCTTGTGGGAGATGTGAAATGCCACACTGAACAGTTTGTGTAATTTGTACCCTGGTGCCAGTAGGAGGTACTAATGATGAGTGACATGGTCAGGCCTGTCTGTTCCTTAGGAAGACTTTACAGTTATGTGGAGAATGTACTGAAGAAAAGAGAACCCAGAAGCATGGAGACTAATTAGGAAGCCAATCCTTCCTAGGCAAGAGGTGATGAAGACTTGAACCAAAGTGATAATCATGTGAATGCAGAGAAAGAGGTATATTCAAGAAATATGGAAGCAGAGTAGAGGACACTTGACAACCGACTGGATAAAGTGGGTGAGGGGGGAAGGAGGTGGCAAGGCTGACTGAGGTTGCCAACCCGGGTGACTGGAAGGATGTTGGAAAAAATCTGGAGGGGGGAGTGCTTATGGAAGAAATGAGTTCCATTTGGATGTGTTGGGTTTGAAAAACTGATGGGACAACCAAATGGAGCTGAACAGCAGACAGTGATGTTGGATTGGCATTCATTAGTGAAATAAAAGTCAGCTGCATAGATTTGGGAGTCGTGTGCCTTGAGATGATTACTGAATGAGGCACTGTACTCCAGGGGACGGTGCACTGGTTCTGGAGTTGGAGGAAGTAGTCTCAAATCCCACCTTCAATTTTACTTGTAAGACCTTAGGAAAGTCACTGAATCTCTCTGATGAGTTTCCTCATCTGTAAAATGAGGTGTTGGAATAGATGGCCCCTGAGTTTTCTTCCAGCTTTAAATCTGATCCTATGAACCCACCAGAGAGCAAAGGATAGGGTTGGGGGGAAGGGGAGGAGGGAATAAGGACTTACAAGTTATTACGTGCCAGGCACAAAACTAAGCAGTAATAACTTGGAAATTTCATCTCATTTAATCCTCACAATAACTGTGATGTAGGTGCTATTATTCCCATTTTACAACTGAGGAAATTGAGGCAAACAGAGGTCAAGTGCCTTGCTGATAGTCATGCACCTAGAAAGTATCTGGGGCCAAATTTGAACTCAGGTTTTTCCAACCAGGCCCAGTGGAGAATAAGCAAGAATTATGGTTTGTAAAAGTGTGAATGGTGATAGGCCAAGGGAGCAAAGGTTTCAGAGTACTATGCACAGTTGAACAGGTCAACTCCAGAGTTCAGACTTCGAAGGGGAAAAAGGGGCAGTCAGAGACGTGATAATAAAGATCAGTGAGTATGGATCAAGAATCAGTTTAGGAAGAGAGAAATGGAAGGACAGGAGATTATGATCAGAGAGAGAAGAGTTTATGATTATGGAGGTGGTGTAGGCCTGGGTGATGATGAAATCCAAGATGTGACTATCCCTGGGGGGGTTGGTAACCACGGAGGATGCAGGTCATAAGAGTTGAAGACGTTGATGAACTGAAGAGCTAGAATACTTGAGGGACCATCAACGTACATAATAGGCAGAGAAAGGCTGTGAGTCATCACTTTAATTCCTTAGTTCTCCTCCTACTGTCTGACCATTCCTTCCCAGTCTCCTTTGCTGCATCTTTATCCATGTGATGTCCACTAACTAGGTATCCTTCGAGACTCCGCCTGGGTCCCCTTCTCTTTTCTTTCTATACTTGACTTGGTGATATCAGCTGCCACAGCAGCTATCATGCCTAGGCAGATTATTCCTAGATATACATTCCAACCCTAGTCTTTCTCCCAGGTTCTAGTTCTGCATCACCAGTTGCTTATTGGACATTTCTATGGATGTCCTGAAGACCTTTCAAATTTAATATGTCCAAAATTCATTATTTTCTCCCAAAATTTTCTTCTCTTTAGGATGGCCCTGTTACTGTCAAGGGCAGCACCACTGTCTCAGTCAGCCAGGGTTGGATCCTCTGGGTCATTCTAGATTCTTCACTTTCCCTCAATCCACCATTTCTGATCAATTCCCAAATCTTGTAGTTTCTGCCTTCACAGTATCTTTCCATTCTCTTCATTCACACAATCTCTAATTATCTCTCAACATGACTAATGCAATAGCTTTCTAATTGGTCTCCTTGCTTTAAGTCTCTCCCCTCTTCAATCCATCTTCCACACAGCTGCCAAAATGATATTTCTAAAGCACAGGTCAGACCATGCCATCCTCCCCCTTCCCCCCAACCTACTTCAGAAACTCCCCATTGGATGTTGAATATAAAGTCTTTTGGCATGTAAAGCTCTTGAAACCTGGCACCCACTATCTCCCCAGCTTTCTTATGCACCAGAAACCTCTTCACCCTGAAAGCTCACTCCAGAACTGATTTCACATCTTGGAAGGGCGTTTCATCAGCCAAACTGAAATCTGTTAAAGACCTGAGCTTAAAAAGCCAAGGTCTCCCCCTGCATCCAGGGCCATCTCCAGTCATCCTGATCTATATCTTGCCACTGGACCCAGATGGCTTTAGAGGAGAAAGTGAGGCTGGTGACTTTGCACAGCCCTCCAATTCACTTGCATGTCATGGCATCATCACCTCCTTGATGTCATGGTCCTCTTCTAGAACGAAGGACAAACAACAACACATCTTGGATGTACCCTCCTCCTCCTTCTCTTCCTCCTCCACTGCACCTCCTCTGCCCCATTGGCTGGTTTCTCTGAGAACCTCCATTTTAAAGAAGCCCCTCAGGCCACTCACATCTTCATTCCTCTCCAGGCTGCATACCTGACTCTCCTCCCTGATTTTTTGCACATTGTCTCCCACACTTCTCTCAGGTACCTTCATTCCACCCTCTCCTTCCTTTTATTATCTTAATTGTTTGTCACCATTAGAATGTAAGGGCAGGGGCTGTCTTTCTGATATTCTCTGCACTTGGCACATACACAGTAAGCACTTAATAAATGCTTATTGATTTGACTTCTTACACATTCCTCTACTAAGATACAGTCATACTGGCCCACCGGCTGTTGCTTGAACATGACAATATATCTCCCATCTCTGTGTCTTTGCATTGGCTTTTCTTCCATTCCTGCAATGTTTCCCCTGGTCTCAGGTCTCAGAATCTCAGTGTAAAATCCTGAAATAAATTAGTCAATGGTTGAGGAATAAAGCATCTTTAATTGAGGTAACAGGGTAGCAAACCTACCACCTTGGTAGATGTCCCCCCAACAGACTCACAGTAAAATGTTCTTACACCTTTATGAGAAAAGGAGAGGAGGTAGTATGAGGTAGGAAGTCCTGGTCATGAGAGCCCAGTCACCCTTGGCAATCTGGGCAAAAAAAAACCATTTCATTCTGGCTGTTTTGCCCCCATGCCATGAATCTCAATGGAGGAGGGACAGGGGCATTAGGAGCTTAGATCCACCTTAAGCTAGGTTCCTTTACAAGGTAAAATCCCAGGGTGCAGGACTGAGGGTATGGTTCTTCTCAACTTAATGGAGAATGAATATCTTAACAATAGGAATGTAAGAACATTACTGACATTACTAGAATCATTTAAAGGAGTGGCAAGTAACATTACATTTTGTATGAACAATTTTCTGTCATTGATTCCAAGAAGATGAAGTCTTCTTAATGAATCACTAACTGATATGACAAATGCTTCATCAAGAGTTTTTAACTATGAGGCTTATGATGGGAAAAAATGTGAGTGGAAGAGAGAATGAGAGATTGACTGACACATTGGCATGAGCCATTGGGGGCAATCCCCTTTGGCAAGCAGACCTTACAGAAAAGAGGCACATGGGGAAGAAGAAAATAATAAAAGGTAAAATTGTCCATTTCATCAATCCATCACATCTTAAGGCTC